GGAACTGATGCTCCCTGACGGATTCGATCCCATGTCACTCAGCTTCACAATCAGAGACGTTACCACTGATCTATTCGGGCCGCGACCGACCTACTGTACGACTGATATGTAATCACAATTGATTGATCACTGGGTGGTGATTAATGTCATGCGTGTCAAGTCCTTCTTAGTGCTGATCGAATGCTATCGATCAAGTTGCAATGTGACCACTAGTCTAGGTGGCTCGACACTAAGATAAGATGGTGGTTGGAGGTGGTCAACAGGAAACCCTGGACATGGGTTTCGTGCTACTTGGAACTCGTCAGCAAGGACTTGACACACATGACATTGATTAACACCCAGTGTTCAATCAATTGTGACAATCGAATGTATTCGGGCACAAAATTGCAACCATACAGTGTACAGTTAATTTACATATATCAATCGATTGTTTCAATCTTGACCGTTCCTTCTGAAAATATCAGTCCATTGTTTCCGATCACTATTATTGTTCATATATTTTCATACCAATTGCGTTTCATTCCCGTCTTTTCCTAATCGATCTTCTGCTGTAATACATTCAATATCCGACTACCGTTATATACTACTACTTATGTGGATATAAGCAACCCAGTATGACAAAAAAAATATATCAAAATCATAAACAAACAAATTGTTTATCATAGAAATATCATTTTTCCAAAAAAATATAATAAGTAACCTAATTCAATTTAGCAGACCAGTTGCACTCCTAACAAAATCGATGGAAAGATTCAAACAAACAATACCAAGTGAATCTAATTCAATTTAGTTTATCTATTATTATCATTTAATAGTTTTCCTCCCCCTCCTCTCCCCCCTCCACTCTACTTTCAATCAAAAAAAAGTACATAACCCTTTTTTTTGTTTTTTGGCGAGAGAATGAAACAAATCGTTTGATTCTCAGTTTCCCTTTTTTTATTAACACAGTTTATGGATAATAGATGTGAAATAGTTACTAAGTTAAAAAATTATAAATAGGTAACCCCCTTTTTATTTATTTTAGTGTTACATATTTTCGAATAGTTTATGTGTACCTATGAGTGTGTATATGTGTGTGTGTGTGAATGTGTACACTTCAAATTGTAGTATTAACACTATGCGATGCATAGTTTTGGGCCAGTTCTAGATTTTAGAAATATAGAAAATTATGGAATGTGTGTGTGTAGTTTTAATGGTCATTCACCATCATACAAACATGAAAAAAATTTTCGGTGATAAACTAAATTGAAGAAAACTTCATTTGGAATTGATTAATTCTAAGAATATAACTAAATGGGAAAGTGTATTGTTTTGTAAAGAATTTTAATAAATCAACATTTATTTATCATTTGGTATCATTACATCGATACTAGTTTCAATAGTTGAGATCATGAGTTAATTGATGCTAGATCACCATGGAGAACCTAGAAGCACGGGATTACCGATTCGTTCTATTGTGGGATTCCTCAGAAGTGCACATCAATGATCCCGCCTCACGAGATTCAAACCCAAGACCTATCAGTCTCACACGCGAGCGCTTAACCACTAGATCACTGAGCTGGTCGGCATCCAACGGTCTTAATGTCTAAATTCAACCAGTCCACAAAATTGAGCGACACATCAACCATTTTCTTCTGTGAGTTACTATCTCACAACAGGCCCGGTCGAACTCTACAGGTCACTGCTTCTCACTAGAACTCCAGGAAATACCTCTTGGACCCAGTCACTAGTGAGCATATGTTGACTAATATTAAAAGGGGGTTTTGTGGATATTATAGTAATTTTAATAGTTGGGATCATGAGTTAATTGAAGCTAGATCACCATGGCGTCTGTTTCGTCGTCTTGTGGGACTCCGACCCAGTGGTCTATAGGCTAAGGGCTCGTGATTAAGACTGATAGGTCCTGGGTTCGAATCTCGCGAGGCGGGATCGTGGATGCGAACTACTGAGGAGTCCCACAATAGAACGGAATAGCCATCTAGTACTTCCAGGTTTTCCATGGTGATCTAGCTTCAATTGACTCATCATTACAACTATTGAAATAAATCTTTAGTTTAGAAAGAATTGGACTGATCAAATAAGATGCGTATAAATCTCTTCAAGATTAATCTTCAATAAGTTTCTACCCATACAATTTGTTATTACAAACATTTTACACAGTTCTTTATGGAAGTTCCGAGCTTTTCTACATCAGACTTGAATTTATACTTTAACATAGTCTGAATAATCCTATTGGACAATTCATTTCATTCATTGACCAATCAGTATATATTACTATTCGTTATTTTCATTAAGTAGTTTTAAGTCAGCTTAAAATTTAATTATTGATAATAATTTTTCTGGTTAGCGTTTTTTTAGCGAGTTAGTTTTTCTACGGGATGGGGTCGCTAATCCCATATCCAACCCTCCTCCTTTAATCGGGCTTGGGACCAGCAGTAACCCTAGAAGAGCTACAGGCGGAGTTATATAGATAATAATTAATAAATAATAATTCACTTAGTATTGTTTGTTTAAATCTTCCCATCGATATGTTAGGACTGCAACTGGCAAGTCTCAATACGCACAGTATGCACATATGCCAATAAGAGACTGATCAGTTGCAGTCCTAACACATCGATGAGAAGATTCAAACAAACAATACTAAATGAATTTAAACTTCACCCCATCTCACAAGCAAGTGGCTATCAGGACTCAGTGGCCAAGTGGATAACATGATGGCGTTTGAAGCGAGGGTACTGGGTTCGAGTCCCAGAGTAAACATCAACAAGTCTGAGATGCAGGTACATCCAGCTGACGAGTCCAAAATAGAACGAAGCGCGCATCAAACTGGATTCCACTGCTAGCCACTATCCATCTCTGCTTAGTAAATAATAATGTTTTGTAGTCGAATGTTGTATATTATCATTTTGAAAATACCATGATTCAGTAAGGCATTAATTATTGAAGAGAACTATATTCAATCACCGTTCTTATCGCTTTCTGATGTTATTCAATACAATTTTAATTGGTTATCCATTCAATTACGTCAATCATGCAAAGATAAGGATAATAAATCATCAATTATCAATGTGCGAATTTCTGTCGGATTACTGATACAGATTACTTATGTTTGATTGTTGCAAATGAATTATGATAGATAGTTAAGTGACCTAGAGGTTTAGCCTTTCAGTACAAGACCACCAGTCATGAGTTCAGTTCCTGCTTACGGGATCGCGGATGTTCACTGCTCAAGAATAGCATATTAGCGCGAGACAGCCGTGCAGTGCTTGGAGGTTCTCAATAGTTTTCTCACTTAGATCGGTTAATGATTCCTATGAAATTCAAAGATCTCCACAACCCTATAGTGGAAAACTACCGGTCAAATATATTGTACTTTTTTCCAGTATATTTGTTTTTAATTAAGTGGTTATTCTTGTGGTTTAAGCATCAGTTTTGGTGGGAAAATAATAAATCGTTCACCCGTAGTACGAAATACGCTAAATAATGTATGTTTTATGCAGTGTCATTTGACTAGATGACAAAACTGAGCACACTAGTTCATGATACTAGTAGATAGTTAGACCACCTTACAAGATCATATGGTATGCACATACAAAACATCCGACTGACAATTAGAAACGGGATTTAATATACAAGTCGGGCCAGTTAGTTGTCACCTGGCCCTAATCAAATCATCCAGCAATCAGATCAGTGATCGTTGGATAGTTTATCGAATGTAGTCAAGGTAAAGGACAACTAGCACCCATCGACTGATTGCATGTCATAGACAGGCGAATGTCTGGAGATAAACACACTTTATCAAGTCATCTAAGTGTATCTTAGTCATCACCTATGATTGTTTTCGTTTAGTTATTCACTTAATTGTACATAGACTCGGACCCAGTATCGTTCGCTCCAAGCCCCATAGTGTTATCCATTCAGCTACTGAGTCCTGATAACCACTTTCTTGTGTAATGGGGTGAAGTTTAAATTCACTTGGTATTGTTCTTCTCATTGATGTTTAGGACTTCAATTGATTAGTCTCTTGTTAGCATCTTGTGTATCCTGTACCTTAAGTCTCAAGCTTTATAAGCAAACACAATATTGAGGCAATCCTCACAGTATGCATATATACTAATAAGAGACTGATAAATTGCAGATCTAAACAACAATGGAGAGATACAAGCTTGTTACCCCATATGGTGAAGTATAGGCTGCTGATCAGTATTCTCTATCCACCTCTGTTCTGGATATATCCTTTTCTAGTTGCTATTCATCCTTTGCATGTATGCTTCCAATTCCTAATATAGTGTGTTCTTTGAACTTCTTTTTATTCATTTCCCTTCAGGATTCCAAGTTAGCACTTACCTAATGATACAGTTTGATAATTTTCGTAATGTATATCCTATTCAATTCCAACGTCTTTTCCACTGTAGGCTGTTATTGATAGTGTTCAGCCAACGGATATTAAGTATCTTGCGTAGACAATTGTCTAGAAAGACTTGTATTTTATTTGGATGATGTTTGTGGTAGTTCTCTGTCTCGAATCTGTACAGTAGAACTGTCTTGGCGTTTAAATATTCAGAAGGGGGTTTTGTGGAGATTTTTTGGTAATTTTTATAGTTGAATTCATGAGTCAATTGAAGATAGATCACCATGGAAAACCTGAAAGCACTGGATGGCCGTTTCGTCCTATTGTGGGTCTCCTCAACAGTGCGCATCCACGATCCCACCTCTCCAGATTCGAAACCAGGATCTATCAGTGTCGCATGCGAGCGCTTAACCTTTAGATGAAGAAGTAAAACAAAAAAATCTCATGAAATATTGAAACATTAAAGGAAACAAGAAATCAATGATTTAATAGGACCACTATTGATTATTATAGTCTGAGAATTCATTTCATTGTCTTATTTTAATCTGATAATTTTATTGGCTAATTTAAAAAAAACAGTCCATAGACTTTGATGTGATTGGTTAATATTTAGCACACATATATACATACACACACATATATATTGCACCATAATACATCTATAAATGGACATATCTAATAAAAGAAAAAGATTTCTTTATAGTAATCATTATCTAAGCTAATTATGAATGTAACTTGGCCTGTAATTCTTCTAGTGCTACTGCCGGTTGCAAGCCCGGGTAAAAAAAAGAAGGAGGGGGGTGGGGATATGGTCGGCAACCTCATCCTGTAAAAAACAACTTTGCTAAGAAACACTAACCACTAGTCATGTATGTTTGTATGTATGTGCGTGTGTATATAAATGTGTGTATGTGATAAATCTATTCTTCATACAAAGGTGTATAGATTCATAATCATCTTAGTTGTGTAAATATTAATTCATAATGATAGTGCATCCATTAAGAATAGAATATAGTATCTAAAAAATGCGGGGGGAGAGGGGTGGCAACAGGACGATATAATTCAAATTACTATAGTTACTATTGGTGTAATTCTATTACAGTGCACATTTTTTTGGTGTATAGTATTATCAAATTATAGTACGGTAGTTAAAGCATCATCCAGAACATGTCTAGATCACCAATGTATTATATTAATAATCAATTATAGGATATTGTTCCCTATATTAAAAATATGTGCTTGTATGTGTAGGGGTGTATGTGTGTGCATGGTTTGTGTATGTATATGTATTAGTCTGAACTAAAAATGTGTATTGAATCTTTTATTGTAAATTCAGTTTTGATTTTGTTTCAAAGTTATTTTCGTATATAGAATTAATAGAATTGACCAACACTACCATTACTACTAATGGCTACTCGTACACAAGATTTTGGAATTGATGTAGCAATTTCTAGAAAGGTAAATTATTTCTATAATTGTTTAATTCATAAGCATTATAAGTAGAGATGGATGGATGAATGGATGGTGGCTAGCAATGGAATATAGGATGTATGTTTCGTACTATTTGGGAATCATCAGCTTAATGTACCTGTATCTCAGAGTTGATATTCACTAAGTTCATAAGGTGAAGGATATTGGGTTCAAGTCCTGGAGTGAATATTAACTCTGGGACATGATAGGTACATCCAGCTGACGAGTGCCAAATGAAATGAAACACATGTCCTGGATTCTACTACCAGCCACTATCCATTTTTTGTCTATGATTATTGGTTATAAAATATATTCTCTTTTCTGCCATGTAATCAGTAATATAAACGGATATCATTAAAAAAACTAGTCTATGTTTATTACTTACTTACTTACTTATTAACGCCTGTTACCCCTCGTAGAGGAGCATAGACCGCCCACCAGTTCTGGAGAGGGTTTTCTCAGTGAGTAAGTTTTCTACAGGATGGTGTTGCTAACCCAATGTCCAACCCTCCTCTTTTACCCGGGCTTGGGACCGGCAGTCACTCTATAAGAGCTACGGGCGGAGTTGTCTATGCTTATCGAGAAACGTAATTAAATGAATGATCATATATTGTGTATTGTCTTTGTGTATATAGTTATTTAGTGTTATGTTTTGTTTAATGGCTTAATGTTTAGAACCATTTGATTTCAGAGGTATTCAGTTAAAAGTTAGAACCATTGTTTTTAGCCTACTTAAGTTTAAACATGTTAATAGTGTCAAAATGATATAACTACTAGAGATATGTACTTCAACCCGAAGTTTATGCTGATGATGTTGTTCACAAGGATGATGAAAACTCCACGACTAAACCATCTAGCTCAGAGAATAAAACTCTATCAAAATATGTATTATTCTTTCATAATCAAAGATTTTGTTAACCACTTCAGTATCTGACCAGTATATGGTTAAATGATGTCATAGGTGATTTCAAATTGAGGTTGGAACTAAATTCATTTTATTTAATATCACAAGAGGTTTTGTGGATATTATAGTAATTTCAATAGTTGAGATCATGAGTCAATTAAAGCTAAATCACCATGAAAAACCTGTCAGAACTGGATGTCCGTTTCGTCATATAGTGGGACTCCTCAGTAGTGTGTATCCACGATTCCGTCTCACGAGATTCAAACCCAGGACCTATCAGTCTCGTAGAGGAGCATAGACTACCCACTAGCATTCTCCATACAACTCTGTCCTGAACAAATCTTTTCCAGTTGCTTACAGATGATATTCATGCTTTTCATATCTGCTTCCTATTCTCGATGCAGTGTGTTCTTCGGATTTCTTCTTCTTCTCCATTTTCCTTCGGAATTCCAAGTTATCACTTGCCTCATGATGCAGTTTGTTGATTTTCGTAATGTATATCCTATCCACTTCCAACATCTTTTCTTAATTTTTTGTTCAGCTGGTAGTTAGTTTATTCTCTGCCATAGTAGGCTGTTGCTGATGATATCAGGCCAACGGACATTGATATATATAATGCTACCAGTGGTGTTTGTCTAATCACACAAAAATGCATAGTGTACGTATTGCCTCGATATAGCCTTTATTCACCTAATATGCAGGTACATCCGGATGATGAGATGAAACATGCATTCTGTATTCCACTGCTAGCCACTATCCATCTTTGCTTAGTCGTGAATAAGGTCATTAGAATGAATTGACTTATTGTTATAGTTAACACTGACGATGTTTAATTAAGGTTTCATAATTAAACCATTTAATTTTGAGAATGTAACACTAACAATGGGATTCATTCAAGTTACAAATTTTTCTCATTATTTTTTTATATTTTTCTAAATGTGATATTCTAGTTGAATAGTAGATATGATCCAGATGCAGAACGTCAAGTTATGGGATGGATACAACAATTAACTGGACAAAATATTCCACTTGGACGTGAAAATGTACAAAGAACATTAAAAAATGGTCAAATACTTGTTGAGTAAGAAAGAACTATCTTGTTGTTGTTGTTGTTGTTGTCGTTATGAAATTGCTTATGAGTTTGAATTTTCCTGATATTGATTTTTTGATTTGTCTTAGTTGTCAAATGTACATCTTATACAGATGACCTCGATATGGGTATTTTGTTATGATATTCATAGAACTAATGATTTAAGGAGTCTAAAACGTGAACATCATCCACTTTAGAAGTTGTCAACTGGATTTACTTGTATCCCAGTTTTGATGTTTACGCTAGACCTCGGACTTGGTATCCTCCATTTCAAACTTAGTCTAATCATTATAAAAAAAATATTTTTCTCGTTGAATAAATGAGTGGCTATCTTAATTTAGTAGCTCAAAGGATAATATCTTGGATGTTTACAGTGGTTTTTGGGTTTTAGTTCCGGTATAAACGTCAATGTTAATATCTAGATATATCTAATTGACGAGTTCCAAACAGAAAAGAAATCAAGTATTGAATTTCATTGTTAGCCACATTCTATCCACTTTATTAAATATATTTCAGTATTTTCAGAGTTGAAAGCATCAGTTAATTGAAGCTGGACCACCAAGGAAAACTGCTGAGGAGTCTAGCAATAGGACGAAACGACCATCCAGTGCTTTCAGATTTTCCCTGGTGGTCTAACTTCAATTGACTCATGATTTTAACTATGAAAATACTGAAATCTCCACAAAACTCCTTCTGATATTTCAGTATCTTGTAAAATAATCACACAAAAAATCTGTTTATATTAAAATTTCTTCCTATCAAACTTTAAATGCTATTCAACACTGTGAGTTGATTTGGCTTTGGTGTGACATTACTTTATAGGATTGTTGTTAAGGGTTGAGATTTTACGAATAAAGTGGTTACACACATTGGTATAGTGTGAATGACTGACACCTTCTTCTCAGCTGAAAAAAAAACTATTAGATGACGGAATACCTGTCAACAGAGTATATTTTTTTTTCACAATAAGAATAAATACTTCTACTTAAAACAACCACGATTAAATGTTACAATTGCTTTGGATATCGCCTGTGTCGGCAAACTATTCAAATACGATTCGTATTCACATGAAAAAGGATCCAGACTTTGGTATCCTAAAACCGTTGAATAGTTTAGTAATACATGGTTAAATGTAACATAAGTGATTGAAATGACTATGTTTGTCGTAGGACATTCATCAGGAATTAGAAATAAAACTCAGCTGCAAGATCTAATTGTTTACGATTTATCGATTACTGAGTAATGATTAATGTATTTGTATAGCCCTTTCAGTGTTGATCAAATTCTATTAGTTAAATTGTAGTGTGACCATTAGTCTAAGTAAATTGATATCGCGTGTACTATGCTTTAATTTCAAGTGGTTGAAGGTAGTCGGTAAGAAATTCTGCTAGAAGTTCTCATGGGAAGTCGTAACTGATGAAGTCTAAATGTATCTGAAATGAAATACTAGTCACAAATGATCATCACACTACATCACAAATTAATTGGACTTATAAAAGCGAATCAATAAATGCTAACTTAGTGGCTTTAAGGTTAAGTGCCCGTACTGATAGTTGAATGTCTAAGCTTCACTGCTCGATGCACTGTTGAGGGGTTCAGTGTTTCCCTCTCCTCTATCGAAATCATTCTGTAACAAATATCATCTTATTTATTTTATTGTACATGATTTGTTTGAGTAACTTAAGAAGAGATATTTATCGTGTGCTGACAGCAAGTTGAGAAGTATTAAAAAGCAACTGAATGCTGAATAGTTGCTTCGTTGTAGTATTAGATTTGAATCATTGACTCGTGAATACAATTCCACATACTATTGAACTTAGGATTTTTAAGACTCCGGGCTTACATAATACCTTCATACAGTTGAATAAGAATACAATGGCACCGTTGGAGTTGACCCCAAAATCGACGTTATGAGCAGGTGAAATCGTCAAAGAAACAATTATTTTATCTCAATTCCATAATGATATGTTAATGTCACGTAAATGCAACCTGTTTCTACTGGTCATTTTGTCTTGTACAGTACGATAGATGCTAAGTTGTCATTACATGAAACATAAAAACTGTCTTAAAAAGTCCTCGACTTCACTGTTTTTAGTCGTGCATTGTTATTATCATTAAAGCGCCACTATGTTTGAGTTGTCTAATTCCTTTGAATATAGTATTCTATCGTCCGTAATTTAAGTTCTACTAATTACACCAGGTACATATTTTAATCTTCAGTCAAATTGTGAGATCTCTAGTTAAATTTACTCGGAAAGATTGGTAGAAATAGCTTTTCCATAGAATATCATGGTATCTCTCAACAAAATTAAAGATGGATCAATCAGTCTATTAGTCATTACAAGCAGAGACGGATGGTGGGTAGCAGTGGAGTATAGCGCACAGACGAGTCCCAAAAAGGAAGAAACATGAGTCATGGATACAACTGCTAATTACGATCCATCGCTGCTTTAATGCTTCTGACTTATTGGAAATATCAAGGCAGTCCGCATAGGATACAAATATACCAAGAAGAAACTGATTAATTTTAATCCCAAACGTCAATCGGAATATTCAAACAACCAATATGAATTAAAACTAACCCAATGGTCATTTTGTTAACTTTTTAAGCACTAAAACATGTTAGAATTAAAATCAAATGAATAATGAATTTTTGATTGAAACTATGAATCGACTGATGTTAGAACACCATTGAAGACCTGGAAACACCGTTTCATCCCCTTGTAGGACTCCTCAGCGGTGCGCTTTCACGATCTCGCTCCCGGGATTCGAACCCAGGGCCTTCGGCCTTGCGCGCGAGCAATTAGTCTCTAGATCACCGAGCCGGCATCTAACGGTGTTAATGTCTAACCTCAACCAACCCACGAAACTGTGTGACCATCTTCCATTGTACTGTCTCTACCTGACACGAACTAGCTCCATTGATCACAACTTCTCACTAGAACTCCGAGAATTCCCTCACGAAGCTAGCCATTAGTGAACATATGATAATTATCAGTATGGGGTTATGGGCTATAAATACTGAGGAATGATATTTTTTGAAGTTTATTATGGATTTGTGTCACATTTAATGGTTTACACTGCAAGAATTAACACTTCGATAATCTCCACAAAACTTTCTTCTGATAATGATCATATGCTCACTAGTGACTGGTTCCATGAGGTATTTCCTGGAGTTCTAGTGAGAAAAAGTGATCACTGGAGTTCAACAAGGTCTGTTGTGAGATAGTGACTCACTGAATACAATGGTGGACGGTTGTTCAATTTCGTGGGTTGGTTGAAGTTAGACATTAACATCATTGGATGTCGGCTCAGTGGTCTAGTGGTTAAGCATTCGTGCATGAGACTGATAGGTCTTGGGTTGGAATCTCATGAGGCAGGATAGTGGATGCACACTAGTGAGGAGTCCCACAATAGGACGAAACAGCCATCCAGTTCTTCCAGGTTTTCCATGGTGATCTAGCTTCAATTGACTAGTGACTTCTACTACAAAATGATTGGACTTTCATTATTATTTTTTCTTTTTCTAAACATTCAATTTTTACAGACTTATCAATGCTGTATATGAACGTACACCGAATTTACCACCAAAAGCTCAAACAATACGTAGACCAATAAAAGCAAATGCAGGAACTGCACCATTTAAACAAGTAAGAAATTATTGACTAATATTATTAATATATATGATTAGATTTTTTCTATTTTTGATTATGAAGATGGTTTCGTCCTATCGTAGGACTCCTTAAAAATGCGCATCCACGATCTGACCTCGCGAAATTCGAACCCAGGATGGGATAGTGAATGTGCACTTCTGAAGAGTCCCACAATAGGACGAAATGTCCATCCAATGCTTCCAGGTTCTCAATAATGGTCTAACTTCAATGGACTCATGGATTCAGCTTTATAAAATTAATAAAATCTCCACAAAACCCCCTTCTGATATCAATTTTATATTGATAATATCATCGATGAACAAGGAGGATCTAATGCAGATCTAAAGACGAGGATTGATAAGAAAATACAAATATTACTATTCTGTAAATTAGTCTCAAGTCTTATACTTTGTTCAATATTCGCTCTATCACAAAAAGTTTTTGAAGAATATTTAATCTAAAGTTTTATATTACAGATTAATTAGAACTAGATAATCATCAAAAACCTAAAAAGACTGAATAGTTGCTTTATCCCTAGTAATCGGATATATCAATAACAATGTACATTCAAGATCCCATAAGGGATAGAATTGACATTACAATTTGTTAATTTATTATAGTACTGTAGTGAAAGAGAACATAAGTGGGGACAATTGAATCAATCATTCTTTGTTCTCATTCTCTTTTCTTTGATCTTCTTAACAATATGCCATCAAAGAATTTCACTTTCGTTTTGTGATATATACTACTTATATCTGTTGACATCAATAGGTCATACCATAGTACCAGTATAAGAGCTTAAATGTTGAGAGAAATAACCTGAAATTTCTATAGGACATTTTCATTAACATTAGACTAACATATTAGAGAGAAACTTGTTAGTGTGTTATTTTATTGTAAGCAAAGATGGACAGTGGCTAGCAGTGTAATCCAGGACGCGCGTATCGTCCAATGTAGGACTCGTCATACAGATGTACCTGCATCACAGAGTTGATGTTCACTCTGAAACTCGAACCCAGTACCCTAGCTTCAAACGTCATCACGTTATCCACTCTAACATCCATCTCTGCTTACCATGCTTGTGAATTAAGGCTATAACGAGGCAATACGCACAGTATGCACATATGCCAATTAGAGACTGACCAGTTGCAGTCCTAACACATCGATGGGGAGATTCAAACAAACAATACTAAATGTTATTTTATTGTCGTGACTAATGTCAGTTGTATACGGGTAAAGGTTAAGACTTGAAATGAAAATTTTAGGTAAATTAAAGTTCACCATACAACATTTACACACTAAATGAAATGAGAAATGACTTTAATCTTACGATTACAAAGTACTTAATGAACGTTTCCCTATCTCTCTTGCCCTATCTCACCTATATTTATCCTGATCTCAGATCTTACATTTTCACTTAACATATACACAGTTAACATCAACATTAGCAATTTTATTTTATTTGTATGTAAAGATGGATAGTGGTTAGTAGTGGAATACAGGACGCGCGTTTCGTCCTATTTCGGACTCGCCAGCTTGATGTACCTGCATCTCAGACTTGTTGATGTTCACTCTGGGACTCCAACCCAGTACTGTTCGCTAGCCACTATTCATCTTTGTTTATAATGCTTATGAATTAAGGCTATATCGAGGCAATACACAAAGTATGACATATGCCAATAAGAGACTGATCAATTGCGGTGCTTAACGTCAATCGAAAGATTCAATCAAACAATATCAAATGAATTAATTCTATTTGGTTTGACAATCCTAAATTTACATGCTTTAAAAAATGTACTTTATCTTTAACTTGGCCATTTTTTTCGGATTATTACTATGAATATAAATGAATTATAGAACCTAAAAAGAATTTATCGAAAAGAATATTCTTCGTTCAAATATTAGTCTTTTAATATGAGAGGGATGTTTAAACGATTAAAATTTACACCCCAACGCCTTGGTATAGCCGAGAGTGGGGAGAGTCCTCTCTCCCTCTCCAAATTCTCTCACATGGTCACGTGTATATAGCCTCTACCAGGGAAGTCCTACTCACTGACTTCTCACATTGGCATTACTGTTGTTTAAGAGTTTGAGAGGACGAAAAGCAAATATCGGGGTTTTTAACCGGGTTGTTGGACACAGAATGTTCACCTAGGGAAGTTGGAAAACCCTGATTCCAAACCAATGGTGTACATGAGCTCCAGTATCCTGAGGAAACAAATGGCGTATGAATCAATCGTTGGTCACCGGCTACCATCGGACTGAATCTCCTTACGATGCTCCACTGCCTTGTGGATCAGACCTATATGTCAAAGGCTCCGGGTGTGCCCCCCTAATAAAACCACCTGCTTCAGTTTGTTCACCTGGGCAATATCACAGCCCTCACACAAATCAAATGAGATTTGTGCGGTGCATATATATCTGGTTCCCCCTTGTACCAATATTTATATGTTCAAATAACTAACTAACTAACTAACTATAAAAAGAAGCTTTTGTTATTGTTGTTGTTGTTGTTGTTGTTGAAATTCCAACTATTCTTCTAATATTGATATATACAAGGTTGGACAGGTCATCATCTTTATAAATTCCAATATAATCAGAAAAAATAATGGAGAAGACCAATTTTAGTATCCACTTATAAAACTTATATTAATAAGTAGTACAATAAGTTAATGCTAAAATTTAGGTCAACTACAAATTCTTCTTTTTATTTGGTAATTTCCTATAAATGATTACCATTATCATTATACATATGCAATGATAAGGATTAAAATAACACTTATGACATATATGGGTTCATATTATTGGGTTATACATACATACATACATACATACATACGTACATATAAGATAAGTGTACTTAAAAGAACATATGGTAACCATCTATCTAGATGTGGTGTATTACTATAATAACCTAGAAGACAAATATAGGTAAGTGTATATATAACCATAACCCTAATCCTAACCCTAACCCTATTTAAATGAATGATACTAGTGAATGTAGGAAATCAATGACTGTGTCAATATAGATTTATCTTTGTTTATTATTAGATATTGAATACAAGAAATAATAGAATTATTGTATATCAATATATATATATATATATATATCTGTTCCATTTCCCCCCTCCCCCCTTACTCTCTGTTGTTGTGTGTAAAAGTGTAATAGGGGAAATTATTGCACAAAAGTGTAGTTATTACTGTAAATTAATGAAAAAAAACACGAATACTTTGTCTTATTATTATTATTATTATTATTATTATTATTATTATTACTATTATTATTATTATTATTATTAGTAGTAGTAGTAGTGGTAGTAGTGGCGGTGATAGTGGTGGTGGTACCGAAATATATATATATATATATATATATATATATATATATATAAATGTAACTTGTGTATGTCAAAAAATGCAGTTACATAATCCTACACACACACAAAAACATGATCTGTATATATCTGTATCTATGCACAAATATTATCATTTAGTGTTAAACGATAATTCATTTATTTTTTTGCTTCATTCCAACACAAATCTCCTTTTTCTACAATAGAAATTATAAATGTTGGCAAGTAGTAGTAGTAATATGAAAGTTAGGTGGATGATTTTATAATTTTTTTTCTTTTTTTTTGGTGAATGAAATATCCCTTAGCAACTAACAGACTAAACACATAGAAACAAAGAAAGTGAAAATTATTCGAACTTCAGCTTTTTTTTTTCATTTTGTTTTGTTTTGTTTTTTGGATACATTTTTGTATATTCAATTGACAATTAGTTAAGAAATATAAAATGATTTAGTTAGTTAACTGTGGAAAAGTATAAAGGATTGAAGAGATATTTTGTTCCAGTATAGGATATTTTAGTGTTAGTGTGAAGCACCTCAAATGCCCTGGTACGTCCGAGGGTGGAGAGACTCAACTATCTCTCTCCAAATGCTTTCACATGACCACACGCATACAGTTACAACTAGGGAAGTCCTACTTACTACATTCTCTCACAACAGGTGTTGCTTACGAAATTGAAAGTACGAAAAGCGGGTTTGTGGATACGGAGGTTCCACCTAGGGGAATTTGAAAACCCTGATTACAAACCATTCGTGCAAGTGGGTACAAGATCCTGAAGGAACTAATGGCGTATGAATCAATTATCGGTCACTGGCTACCATGGGACTGGATATCCTGATGTTGATTCAATGCCTTGTGAATTAAACCTTTAGGTCGAAGACTTGGGGTGTGATCCCCTAAGAAAATCACCTATTTCGGTCTGGGTACTCGGGGGGTACTACAGCCCACACACAAATCAAGTAACTTGTGTGACGTATATGTATGTTAGTTAAACATATCTATCATATGACGACACCAATTTCATAAACTCACAATATTTCAGCTTTCTTCACTCAATCATATGGTTGGAAAATAATAAACTATCTTGAATTCTCCTTGGGATGACATTGATAAAATGTATTGAAACCATTTAACATTTTATAAGTAAACATGGATACTGGCTAGCAATAGAATACAGGACACACGTTTCGTCCTATTTCGGACTAGCCAGCTCGATGCACCTGCATTTCAGACTTGTTGATGTTCACTACTGCTAGCCACTATCCATCTTTGTTCATAATGATTGTGACTTAAGGCTATATCGAGGAGATCCGCACAGTATGCATATATACCAATAATTTTATTATTTTATTTATTTAAACACATAAATATTGGTACAAGGAAGCACCAGATAAATATGTGCCTCACAAAATCTCATTCGATTTGTGTGAGGGCTGTGATACTGCCCAGGTGCCCAGACTGAAGCAGGTGGTTTTATTAGGGGGCCACACCCGGAGCCTTTGACCTAAAGCTCTGATCCACAAGGCAGTGGAGCATCGTAAAGAGATGCAGTCCCATGGTAGCCGGTGACCAACAGTTGGTTCGTACGCCATTTGTTCCTTCAGGATACTGGAGTCAGCCCATGTGCACCATTGGTTTGGAATCAGGGTTTTCCAACTCCCGTAGGCGGATCCTCCACATCCACCAGCCCGACTAAAGCGCCAGACATTCGCTTTTCGTCTGGTTAGCATATTTTTAGCGAGTTACATACACAAAGGAAGTAGCAAGATTCTCAAATACAACATGGAGAACACCAACCCAATCACACTTGGTGGAGAAACTCTGGAAGAGGTGGAAATATTCACGTACCTGGGAAGCATCGTTTATAAACAAGGAGGAACGGATGCACATGTAAACGCGAAGATTAGCAAAGCAAGGGCAGCATTTCTACAATTGAAGAACATATGGGACTCAAAACAACTGTCAACTAATTTCAGAGTCAGAATCTTCAATACGAACATCAAGACAGTCCTAACGTGAAGAACTACTACGCCCATCGTCAAGAAGGCACAAGTATTTATAAATAGTTGTCTACGCAAAATACTCAACATCCGTTGGCCGGATACTATCAGCAACAGCGTTTTGTGGGAGAGGACGGACCAGCTTCTATTTGAAGAGGAAATTAGAAAATGACGTTGGAAGTGGATAGGACATACATTAAGGAAATCACCAATGTGAATTACGAGGCAATCCCTAACTTGGAATCCGGAACGGAAGCGGAAAAGAGGAAGGCCAAACAACATATAACGCCGAGAGAAAGAAACAGATATGAAAAGGATGAATGTTCACTGGAAAGAACTGGAAAGGATTGCTCAGGAAAGAGTTTTATAAAGAATGCTGGTTGGCGGCCTTCATGAAGGGTAACAGGTGTAAGTAAGTAAGTAATTGAGAAGTAATGTTAATCCATGACCGTAACCATCAATACATATTCAATAATACTATTTAACTATTCCCTTTATTAATTCATTAATTATTTACAGATGGAGAATATTCAACGATTTCTTGATTTATCCGAAGCTTATGGTGTACCACGTGAATGTTTATTTCAAACTGTTGATTTATTTGAAGCAAGAAATATGGCACAAGTACTGGCTACTTTATTACAATTAGGAACTGAAGTAAGTTTCCACTTTTTTATTTTTCATTTAAATGGGGGGGGTTTATGGAGATTGTAATGATTTTAATAGTTGAAATCATAAGTCAATCTAAGTTGAACCATCGTGGAAAACTTGGCATCACTGGACAGCCGTTTCATTCTAGTATAGGACTCCTCAACAGTGCGCATCCATGATAAACTGTGAAAATTCTACAATCGCCACAAATCCCTATACTGATAATAATCATGTGCTCACTAGTGACTAGCTTGAAGATGGATTTCATAAAGTTCTAGTGAGAAATCATAACCAATCGAGTCCAATCCATATCCGATATGAGGCAGTCATCAACCTCAGACAATAGATGAAAGGTTGCACAAGATAATGAATCGATTGAAGTTAGACATTAAACAAGTTGAATGCCAGTTCACTGATCTAGAATTTAGGAGTTCGCACACGAAACTGAGTGTCCCGTGTTCGAGTCTCTTTGTTGAGGTATCTTGTATGAGCACTGTTGAGGAGTTCCATTGAACTTTGAAATAATTAAAACTCTCAGTCGATTGTTATGACAGAAATGAAGAGACATAAGTGACCATTTTAAACTATCTAATACATTTTTCTATACTTAACGATGTTGAAATTGATTTTAGTTATGTAATGGATTGTGTACCTTAATAGTGTTATAGGTATAGTTGATGTTCTTGTTTAACTACTTTTCCATGGATATGTTCTATTGTAATGTCAATGAATTCTTGAGAAAGAAACTGTCATTAGAATCAGAAGGGGTTTTGTGGATATTATAGTAATTTTAATAGTTGAGATCATGAATCAGTTGAAGATAGACCACTATGGAAAACCTGGAAGTACTGGAAGGCCGCTTTGTCCTATTGTGGAACTCCTCTGCAGTGCGCAGCAACGATCCCGCCTCACAAGATTTGAACTCAGGACCTATCAGTCTCGCGCGCGAGCGCTTAACCTCTAGACCACTGAGCCGGCATCCAACGAAAAAGCTGTCCAATGCTTCCAAGTTTTCCATGGTGGTCTAGCTTCAATTGAACAATTATTTCAACTACGAAAAAACTGAAATCTCCACAAAACCCCTTCTGATCAAAGTAAGTGGTTAGAAAACATGGATTCCACCTTGAATTTTATTTATTTTCCACTGAGTATTATCATTATTATTGTTTGTGTTTGTGCATAGTGTCAACGTAATGGATTTCAAGGTCCTGTCTGTGGACCTAAACCTACTTATTCACAACCACGTCAATGGACTGAAGAAAAATTACGTGCTGGTGAGGGTATTATTGGTTTACAAGCGGGAACAAATAAATTAGCATCACAAAAAGGCATGTCATTTGGTGCTCAACGTCATATTGCAGATATTCGATGTGATGATATGACACCAGAAGGTAAGAAATTCAAGTGTTACATTTAATTTATATTCAATAAATTCAATTCAATAATTTCACCCCATTGCACAATCAAGTGGCTATCAGTACTCAGTAGCTGAGTAGATAACGTGATGGCGTTTGAAGTGAAAGGTACTGGGTTCGAATCCCAGAGTGAAATTCAACTCTGAGATGCAGGTACATCCATCTGACGAGTCCCAAATAAAACGAAACGTGCGTCAAATTGGATTCCACTGCTAACCACTATCCATCTTTGCTTATAAAGTATGATTGGCTATTAAGTGAAAACAGGAAGATACATTATTGTCTAGTTTATGTTCTAACTCTCAATACTTGATCATGAATCATGTATCTGATACAATATTATCTCAGTCTATGAGCAATATCCTGATCAATTATTCAGTGTAGTGGTAATCTAATTTCGGGCACAGGTTATGTTATTGTATTACAGTATCATATTACGGTAAATAACTAATAACAATTGTTAATATTTGAATTCACAAGTCGATCTAAACTAGACGATCATTCAAAACATTCAAGCACTAGACGGACGTTTCTTCTTAATATAGGACTCTTCAACAGTGCTCATATAAGATATCGCAACAAAGAGACTCGAACACAGAACACTCAGTCTCGTGTGCGAACTCCTAAATTCTAGATCAGTGAGCTGGCATTCATCTGTCTTAATGTCTAACTTCAATCAATCCATAATCTTGTGCAACCTTTCATCTATTGTCCGAGGTGGATGACTGCCTCACATCGGATATGGATTGGACTCGATTGGTTATGATTTCTCACTAGAACTTTATGAAATCCATCTTCAACCTAGTCACTAACGTAGACTGACTTATGTATTCACCTATGAAGAGTACTACAATCTCCACAAATTCACTTACTGATAATAAGAAATTTTGTAACAACTCTAGATTGTTCAGATTGTTTATAGTAAACAATGGATCAATAAAGTGAACACTAGGTCAACTGATCATGTGATACACTCATCTCCGTTGTCCGACCAACTATCAAAACATCACGTATAGAACAGAAAATGAGTTTATTAGAGTAAAATACTAGTCAGTTCGTAAACAAAATATCAATGGAATGCAAATGGAATAACGTTTATGCATAAGATAGTCTCTTGTACTTAATGCAGTGCAATGTTATGGGTTCGAATCTCGCGAGGCGAGGTCGTGGATGTGCACTGCTGAGGAGTCCCACAATAAGACGAAACGACCATCCAGTGCTTCTAGGTTTCCCTGATGGTTTAGCTTCAATGGACTAACGCTTTAAACTATGAAAATACCGTATTGCAATATGCTTGTCACTAAGCCGTAATCCAGTGAATGATGGTTCATTGTCACGGTTAATATCCATCTGAAATTAGAAAAATGAATTACTAGTTAGTTTACTAAAAGTATTTTGATCACAACTACATTTGATAATTATGAGATCAGTTTCGTTTAGATTTTCTTCACATTACTTTGGGAGGAGCTTCAAATGACAGTGAAATAGCTGTTTAACGATTAATCATGTTACATGTGTGTTGACTGTAATACTGCTTTCATACTCAGACAGGACTGGTTGTCTTTTTAAAGAAGACCATTCGTCGAGTCATTGACCCAGATGTTTAAACCACAAGACACTGGAATAATGTCAGAAGAGTCAGTCCTACGGTAGCAAGTGACCACAATTGGTTTGCTTTTTATTCATCCATTCAGTATCTTGGATCCCGTATACTTTATGAGTTTAACATCAGGGTTTCTTAGGTCCCCTAGATGGACCATCTCTATCCACCAAACCGGTCCACTTTCTGTACTCTCACTGTTGTAGAAATAACCCCGTGGTGAAGGACTTCTCTAGCAAAATCTATAAATATATGGCCATATGTGAGCATTGAAAGGGGGAGAGTGGACTGTCCTTACCTTCGTCCGTACCAAGACATTTGAAGGTATGGTTTTCAATAATTTTCTAACTGATACCAATACATAATAGAAGTTAAAGTCACATTTTTCTGGTTTAATATCAGAGACTGACTTTAGTTAGACGATTACTGAAAACCAGGAAAGATTGGCATTGACTTCATCCTATTATGGAATCTCTTAATAGTGCACATCCATGTTCCCACCCACCAAAGGACCCCCAAAAGTGTAAATAGGAGGCACTTAACTTTCAGACCACTGAGTTGATTTACATTTCTAACGTCAGTTAATTTATGTTATCCTTCTATTCAACTGTAAGAAATATCTAATATCCATGAGAAATAATTTGAAGTAACCCCCTTTCATTTTCACTCCCTCCTCCCCCTCCTTCCCTTGAAAAAAAAACTAAAAATCTTTTTTAGGTGCTGCTGTAATAAGTTTACAAATGGGTACAAATAAATTTGCATCACAAAAAGGTATGAGTTTTAGTAATCAACGTCATATTGCCGATATAAAATGTGATGATTTATCACAAGAAGGTAAATCTGTAATCAATTTACAAATGGGTACAAATCAATTTGCTTCACAAAAGGTAATTTATTTATAATTATTAGAATGGAGTTTTTTGTGTGTGGATATATTGTAGTAATTTTTAATAGCTGAATTAAAGCTAGACCATCATGGAAAACCTGGAAGTACTGGATGGAAGCTTCGTTCTAGTATGGGACTCCCTAGCAGTGCGCATTCAAGATTCCACACCAAAGAGATTGGAATTTAGGGCCCTCGATCTCGTGTTCGAATGCTTAACCTCTAGATCACTGAACCGGCATCCAACCATGTTAATGTTCAACTGGTTTGTAATATTCGAAATAGTAACTATGCATAGATTCATTAATTATTGATCTTACCTAACAACTAAGTTATATGAAGATACACGACTAGCTAATTCATATTTAGTTTTTACTAATTACTTGTTTCAACCTTGATAAAGTGAGATAGATATGCTATTCTTCTATTTATGGTAACTTTGACGTTGATTAAGAGCAATGGTTGAGTAAACAATTACAATGGGTTAGCCTTTGAATTTGGACTGACCTTCAACTACTTATCAACTGTTAATTAGAAAGTAGCATTTTATTTACAACAACAATCGGTTTAGCAAAGATGGATAGTGGCTAGCAGTGGAATCTAGTTTGACGCGCGTTTCTTTCTATTTAGGACTCGTTAGCTGGATGTATCTGCATCTTAGACTTGTTGATGTTCACTCTGGGACTCGAACTCAGTACCTTTCACTTCAAACGCCATCGCGTTATCCACTCGGCCACTGAGTCCTGATAGACACTTGCTTGTGCGATGGGGTGAAGTTTAAATTCATTTAGTATTGTTTGTTTGAATCTTTGTAAAGTAAAGAAACTTATTCATGTGTACTAAAGTAATCTTCTTTAAAAAACCGTCATATATCTATATTTCTTAGGGTTAGGGTTTAGTTCCCTCTAAATGTAAGTATTGTATTCGCTGAGTTGGATGATTTAGTTATGGTATGTTCATTGTCTTTCTAGATGACATTATCAGCTCATACTTTCTTCATACAAGAAAGAAAGCTGAATTCACGAGTGAACAATCTAGAGTCAACTTAGAGAAATTATATCACTCACACGGTAATCATATGGTTATTGATTTTAAGTGACTTGAGAACTGATTAAAGATAAATTTTACAAAGTTCTTGTACGGATGGCTCGTTGGCAAACTTAAGGAAGCCTCAAGAAGTCCAGAAAGAGCTAAAGACATTCCATCCAATCACCGCTAGAGGAACATTCTAGAATGTCGACATGTAGCTTCCCTATTGGATGAAGAAAAAGGATCCCTTATGTGCCTATTGGCTGTCCGAAATGATGATTTACTTTCAGCCAAAAGCTATAAATACATGAGATGTTTGTACTATATTGAGACACTGTTTTGGGAATAACATTCCTCCTTCCTAGTCTTCTCTCTTGCGACGTTACGGGTTCGATCGTTCAAGTAGTCTAGTAGTACATGACATAGCAAGAATCTAAAACTCTAAATACAACAGTTCTACATTAATTACAATTTATATTTCATTACATTTTGAATTTTGTGAGGAAACTCAAAAGTAGTGAATTTCTTTCATAAACTGATATCCAGTATATGAATATTTAAGATTAGTGAGTATGTTTTCGCTTACATCAATTGTTATGTCATTTGACTGTGTTTATCTCATTGATTGACTTCTCGTATAATGTTATGTCCTTTAATCATGAGAATATATCTCATGACGGAATCTCCAATTAGAACACCGACGTATTGATGAGATCAATGACGCATGAACCATTACGAACAGTCTAGAGTCACTTTGAGTTCTTACTGAACCTCCAGGATAGTAGCTTCTCGCCTAATCCAGTTGATTCAGACCAGAACGCTAATAATATCAGCCTCCATTATATGAATCATATATTTCAGACATACTTGGTTTATATTATAGACAAATCAGACCACATACCATAAAACAAGAAATAACAATGATGCAAGATTAAGCCAAAAAATGTGACTTTGAATGTGTGAAATACTGTAACTAATAAATTTAAAATAAGTTAAGTATAGTAAATTGTATGATACTAGTCAATAGGTCAAACAAAAGCTCATTATAAAAGAAATATAAATGTATATAATCTAGTTACTTAAGTTATACAACAGGAATGTATACATATAGTAATAGTCTGTAAATAGATCCTAGCAGTTACCATACATTCATTCATTCTTCGTTCGGATATAACATCAATAAAGCTAATTCCATAATTTTATAGTTGAAATCATGAGTCAGTTGAAGCACGACCACTATGCAAAACCTCGAAGCACTGGACGGCCGTCTCGTTCTATTGTGGGACTCCTCAGCAGTGCGCATCCACGATCCCACCTCCCGAGATTCGAACACATGACGTATCAATTTCATGCGCGAACGCTTAACCTCTTGACCACCAGGGCGGTGTTGATGCCTAACTTCTACCAATCCACAACATTGAACAACCGTTCACCATTGTCTTCAATGAGTTGATATCTCACAATAGACCCTGTTGAACTCCAGTGGTAACTGCTGCTCACTGGAACTCAACTATAAAATTACTAAAATCGCAACAAACCCCCTTCTGGTAATTCCATAATTTAACGAAAGTGTATGCTAAAACTGATTCGCACATGCAAACAATCTTCTGTCCGCAACTATCAACTAACCAACACATCTTGTATTACCTTTCAATTTACAAGTTAGACATACGTATATTAATTCATTGAAGAACAGATTCCCTATTTCCATCTAGTTACCTATTCATAAGAAATTAGAATAGTTCCTTCATTGAGATGTTTTGCAAATCTTCAGGTATTTTAGGAAGTAACATACTAATCAACTTTTAGGACGAAATCCACTGGTTCATACCTTTGTCTTTTAAATTAATATCATCCTAATGGGCAGCCTATGCTCCTCCACGAGGAGTAACAGGTGTAAGTAAGTAAGTATCGTTATCATAATCCAACGTCTTCGATGGGGGGGAACTATATCATTTTTATATTATTTGATCTTACAAGCCACAACTTTCCACTAGAAATGTAAACAGTTTATATTGATTATTACCGATGTAGATTTGGATAAACCAATAATAGTAGTGATTTAAAATATTCTGAACTCTAGTAATTTGGATCATTTGAATCAATCAAAGTGGTCTCTAATACTATCAGTAGTGGGGTAATCACTTATTACTTCCATTTTCCCCACATGATCAAAGGTTAATTCTTTCTGAGGTATGCGAGAAGGAAGGTGGTTTATAAGTAGCTTTAGAAACCTAGGGGAGTTGAGAGAGTGAGGAAAGGACAACACCTTGTTGCAGGTAACACACGATCCTTCCGAGAGTACTTTTTAAAGTGTTAGCTCCATAGTATAAAAGTATTTTTGACGGTGATAGAAATCAGAGAGGTAAAACGAGATATTCTTACTTTAGGGTCAATCATTTCTAACTCCTGCATCTGTTATGAGGAGGTGATACCACCATATTGGTTATCTGTAGGAAACATCTTACTGCCATCATAATCCAGTATAGTTATCAATAGACTCCTCCGTCGAATCTTAAATTGCTGCTTTATGTCTTACTGTCTATCAGCCAACCTAGTTGACATGATAGTTAGGATCTAAAGGCAATTATGACATTTAAGCACGAATGACTACATCAAAGTAGCGGCTGCTGTTTGGAGTAGTGTGGGTGATATATGATCATGTGGTGAATGGCTAACTATACATGTATATTTTTCGTTAGTCGAATCGATTGTGATTCATTTAAATCTAAGTTAGTGAATAAGAAATTCACATATCATTTGACTGATGAGATTTGACTATCCAGTAATTAATAAAAGTTTTTTTCATAGTTGAAATCATGAGTCAATTGAAGCTAGACCACCATGGAAAACCTGGAAGCACTGGACGGCCTTTTCGTCCCATTGCGAGACTCCTCAGCAGTGCGCATCCACGAACTCGCCTCGCGAGATTCGAACCCAGGACCTATCAATCTCGCGCCAGAGCACTCAACCGATAGACCACTGAGCCGGTCGGCATCCAACAGTGTTATTGTCTAACTTCAACCAATCCATGGAGTTTGAGCAACCGTTCACCAGTGCTTCCAGGTTTTCCATGGTGGTCTAGCTTCAATTGACTCATGATTTCAACTACGAAAAATACTGAAATCTCCACAAAACTCCTTTTGATAATAAAAGTTAATTTCGCTGCTGATACCTAAGAATGATTCTTGATCAATGTTGGTTGAGATATGTGCGTTGTGAATGAATTGGGTCTATCTATCCTTTATAGTTATGGAATAGTTAAGTTATTGTATATTTATATTATGGTTAAGGAATTTAATCTAGAAAGCCCATCTTATCAGGAGGATGTTCCTATTAGACCCTCTTCTTAGTGTGGTAATCAGCACTAGATTGGAGATACATTTAACTCAAGAATCACAAATAGGAGAAGATATGTATCCTGGATCCCACTTCTAGGCACAATTCAAATTTATAAACAGTGTTTTATGGTTGAAATAAATTTGTGTGATCAATCGTAGTGTCACTTCAGAACTGCTAAACACCAATCTAGGACTCAAATCCTGTAGTAAACATCAACTAAAAAACACAAGTACAACCAGCTGACGAGTCTTAATTAGGACGAAGTGATGCGATTCTTCGATGCCATTGCTGACTATTCTATCTAATCACTAATATTATTTAATGCATTATCAATAGAATAATTAGCTGCACTTGGTTTAATTCATAGATATGATCATGGTATCATTGCATAGTGACCAATATCATGTATGTCAGATCCTTCTTAAACCCGATGGAATTCTATCGATCAAATGATAATGTGACCATTAGTCTAAGAGATTCAACATCGGGTACACTATTCTAAGATGTAATACAGATTGTTGAAGGTAGTCGACTACCTTCATTCATTAAAACATCTAAAAAATTGTTTTTGATTATGCAATAAATGTATTGCTATTCTCTTTTATCTCTTATGAATATAGGGTATGCGAATTGGTAGTAGTCGTCATATAGCTGATATACGATGTGATGATATATCAAAAGAAGGACAAAATATTATAAGTTTACAATATGGTACAAATAAATTAGCTAGTCAAAAAGGTATGCGTATGGGTGGACAACGTCATATTGCTGATATACGTTGTGATAATTTATCAGCTGATGGTGCATCGGTTATTGGATTACAAATGGGTTTACCACAAAATCAAGTTGCATCACAAGCTGGTATGTCATTTGGTGCACATCGACATATTAATGATTCACATTAAAAAAAAGGAGAGGAATGATGTATTGTGTTTACAAATATTGATTAAATTTCTTTTCTGGAACCTAATAGACACATACACACTCACACACACACACAGCCCCCTTCTTCCCTGTCAAAACAAAATGCACATAATTATTTATTTTTAAAAGCCAATATTGGAGAAATTTCTTCTTTTTTTCTCTTTTCTGGTTTAATTATTCGAACAATCATAAGTTTTTTCTAGTTGCCAAGGCAACAAAGAATAAATTTTCAACAAAAACTTTTCTGAGAAAAACATAAAATTCTTTTAGCCTTTAATCTAATTCTACACTTATGTTTGTTTATTTATTTATTTACACTTTCTAATCATACTGGTGTGTATGACCTATGCTCGACCTCCTCCACGATGGGGTACAAAGGCGTAATCATACACAATGAACAAATGACCTTCACGGGAATACATTCTTTATTTATTTATCTATTTATTTATTAACAGATTGTATGTTTACCATTAAATTTTGAAACCAACCAAAAGTAATTTGGGTTATTTATTGTGGAATAAACACAAGATTATTTCTGCTTACCTTCAGGATGACAATTGTCATAAAGCTTAATCTATGAAAGATTGTTTGTGTGTGTGTGTGTGCACCATAGTGGTTATATTCAGTAGGAAGTAAACCATAATGGGTATCTATTTGATTCATTGAAAGAAAGATCTTGGAAAGTGGTATACATACATATACATATATAGATTTGATAGAACTTTTGTTTATTTGGGGGAAAAGAACAATGATACTATTTATTATTTCTATATTATTACTCTTTAAAGCATGCAATTTAATAAATGCTTTTGAAGGTGTGCATATCTTTTATTTTGAGATGGTGGAGAAGATTTGTAGGTCAAATGGATGATTTTAATGGAGTTTGGTTCTTTGAGTTGGATTGGTCGTGGAGCTTTCATCGTCCTTCTGAACGGCATCAACACAGACTTTGAGTAGAAGTGAAGTGTTTGAATTCAACCGCTTTGAAATTCAATCCCTTCACTTCTACCTAAAGTTTGTGCTCATGATTTTGATGAGAAGGACGATGAAAGCTCCACGACTAAACCATCCAGCTCAGAGAACAAGACTCCGTGAAAATATCTCTTATTTCCTTGTAATATGTCATGAATTTTATTTATATTTTGAATTAGAATTTGCTAGATAATCAGTGAACAGATGTTTCGTCCTAGTATGGGCCTCCTCAACAGTGAATGTGCATCATCCTATGGTGAATTGAAATCAGAACTATCACTCTTCGTGGTTAGTATGTAACTGCTAGACTAACAAGTTGGTGTCTTGATTTGATTTACAACAGTTCATTAGCACTGATGATATTTGCTTATGTTCAACATGAGTGAATTCTGTTAATCATAACTTTCTGGTTTTCTGACTATAGTCGGTTGGTAAGCAAAGATGGATAGTGGCTAGCGGTGGAATCCAGGATGCGCGTACCGTTCTATTTGGGACTCGTCAGCTGGATGTACCTGTATCCCAGACTCGTTTTGATGTTCACTCTGGAACTCAGATCCAGTACTGTTCGCTTCAAACGCTATCGCGTTATCCACTTAGCTACTGTTTGTGAATTAAGGCTATAACGAGGCAATACGTACAGTATGCACATATGCCAATGAGAGAGAGAGACTGATTAATTGCAGTCCTAAACATCAATGTATAGATTGAATAAGACAATACTAAGTGAATATAGTCGGTTGCTGTTGTAAGACTATGAAATTGAGCATTCTCTACAATCCCCTATACCATTGAAAAAAAGGTTTCAATAGGTGAGATGAGAATGATTCAAAAGTCTAATCAGTTATCATTAACGTAAGATCTGTCATGAATATATACTGGTTCAAATTACTACACGAGAATAAAATGTGGAATCTGTAATGAAAACCTAAACATCAGTTCAAAAGAAAGAAATAACATTGAAGAATGAAAGGTTGGAAGTGACATATAACCTAAGATTTAGAACATAGAAAACGAGTGCGTTTATCCTGCTGTGCTTTTCAGTTATTGCTTGAATTTCGTTTAACTAGTCCGCGCTACCAACATAAACTAAACGACCTGGTGGGCTATGTTCATAATATGTGCTTATTTCTATCCAATCTACTGAAACGTCAAACAGGACTGCATATTGTGATAAGTGATAGTTAAACATGTACTGAATAATATTTGTTTAAGAAATCTAAAACGTTCAAAACTGAACGTACAAAATATTGGTTTGCAGTATTGAGTAGCACATACATCTAAATCAAGAATGAATACTTAAATTTAAAAAAAAGAATTTACCTTCTGGTGCCTAACCGAATTAACTCTAGGAAAGCCCATTAGATATGTTAGAGGCAGTCCAGAGAGAAGAATATAATCTGTACCGTAACCAGTGCACAGGGGTCGACACAAAACTTGCTTGTGTTATAACTGCAATGAGAGTATATAGTCATACGATGATTTTCAAGCCAATTCATTCATTCAGTGTTGTTAAATCGTTGGGCTACGGCCTGAGGTAAAGCACATCTATACCTATGTGTGTGCTGTAGAGTGTATCGACCTCAGTCTATGCATTCTATATATGTATGTAACGCATACTTGTGTACTGTAGAGTCTATGTTTTTGACATGTGCGTTTTATAAAAACATGTAACGCATACTTGCGGCGGTACCACGTCCCATAGTATTGTATTCACTAAAGCTTCAAACGCTTTTGAGTTATTACAAAGCTTACAAATGTCATAGAGAAGTGTAGAATCATGTGTTCGTCTGCAAAACATATAGTATATAATTGAATCGAAGTCTCTACTTACATACGAAATATAACAATGTAAACTGCGACCATGTTCTAAGCAAAGATAGATAGTGGGTAGCAGTGCAATCCAGGACGAGCGTTTTGTCCTATTTGAGACGCCACTTGCACAAGCAAGTGACTATCAGGACTCAGTAGCTGAGTGGATAATGCGATGGCGTTTGAAGCGAAAGGTACTGAGTTCGAATCCCAGAAGCTGAGTAACACGGGATCGAATCCGTCAGGGAGCACCAGTTCTCTCAAGATTACAGGTAAACCTTGCTGACGAGTGCCAAATACAACGAAACTCGGGTCCAGGGTTTCCTGTTAACCACCTCCAACCACCATCTTAACTCATTTCTTTTCTCAAGAAGTCTCATTGGTTTCTCTTACTTAGTTGTAAAGGGGGGAGAAGGAGGATTAATGAACTACTAACCAACTAATTTATATATCCACATTCTCTATATAAACGAATGAATTCTGACATAAAAATAAGACAATGTATAAAGATAAAGAAGAATTTATTCATTTAAGATGGGAAATTTGATTTATACAAAAATTAGAAATGAAGTTTTGCACACTTCTCTCTCACTCTCCCTCCCACTCTCTCTCTCTCTCGCTTATTGGATGCAAAGCAACTGGTTAACAAGAACAACAACAACAAACTAGTCAACATCACCTTTCCTTTCAATCTTTTTTGAAGTTTTTTATGAAAATGCTACTGGGAAAATTTCTTTATAATGTTGAACAAAATACACTTGTAAATCTTCTTTGATGAATGGCGCTAAATCATCATAATCTTTACGATTTGTTTCTGGTAAAATGATAGTTGTTATTCCACCACGTTTAGCCTATTGTAATTAAAAAGAAGGAAAAAAACAGTTGAGAGAGTGAATAATTATACACTTTATACTTGAATTCGAGTAATACTGTGGTGTGGACTACTTATATCCAATATAAGTAGTATATGGTGATGGTCAAGCATAGAATGTATTTTGGCAGGAGACCGATAAGGAAAGAACTGAAATGAAGCGCAATTGGTAGGAAAATGCATGAACAATAGAATTAGAGAAGATGAACTGATATTTACAGAAGGAAAAGTGAAGATCGAGACAATTGATTGATAGTCTGCAAATGAACTATTTACGGTATGCAGTGGAATCCAGGACGCAAGTTTCGTCCCATTTGGGACATGTCAGCTAGATGTACCCGCATCTCACAGTTGATGTTCACTCTGGGACTCGAACCCAGTACCTTCCGCTTCAAATGCCATCGCGTTATCTACTAGGCGACTGAGTCCTGATAGCCACATGCTTGTGCAATGGGGTGAAGTTGAAATTCACTTAGTATTGTTTGTTTGAATCTTCCATCTGACGAGCTCCAAATAGGACGAAACGCGTATCCTGGATTGCACTGCTAGCCACTATCCATCTTTGCTTACCATGCTTGTGAATTAAGGCTATATCGAGGCAATACGCACAGCATGCACATATGCCAATCAGAGACTGACTAGTTGCAGTCCTAAAGCATCAATGGGAAGATTGAGAAAAACAATATTAAGTGTATTTACGGTATGGTTGCTAGATTTTAGTGTCTGTAATTTTCGTATCAAGTACATTGGATTGTCCCCAACCGTGTTCTTGTTCACTACAATACTAATAATGTGTGAAGTTTAGTTATTTCACGCGGTCGTCTTTAATGAATTAGATGGAATGGGGTTCGGACTTACGACCTATTTATTGAAAGTTGGATGTTTTAACAAGTGAGATATCGCTATTAAGATTCAAATCTGTGCAAATGATGTCACAACGAAATATGGTAACCGACATATGCTATAGAGAATGTGGTTATTACAAATGCACCAAAAAATGTTCCGAGTTGTTGAAGTGATTCAACTTTCGTTGTGCGCTACTAAACTGATACTTGTCGATGAAAAAAAAAGAAGTCTAATGATTAAACAAACTTAACCGGATTATGTAAATTTCATTTGTTCATGAAGTACTCCTGTAGAGATGAAGTACGATAAGTGAGATATATATATCAGAACCTTTCAAGGCATTTCATAAAGGCATAAAACTGTGACTAATGGTTGTAAATGATGAGTGATATGGTTTAGAATTGGTTACGGTGGTGCAGAGAGCACTCAATTTTTATCTTCCTTTACCAGACACCCATTTTTTGAAACTTATTTTCAAATGTTTAGTTTTTCTTACTATCCTAGATACTATAATTGTTGCAATTATTTCGCTATGAGTTTCCATAATTTAATCTCGATGTAGTTTGACAAGTTGGAAGACTAATGCATATCTATTTCGGGCTGTAGGTTATCACTACCTAACTACCGTTAGAAAATGCGACGGACAGAGTTCGATCAGCATTAAACAACCGTGACAATAGTCACTATTCAGTGATCAATCAATCAATCTAAACATTCCACTTTTATAGCAAGTCAGTCGTGACCAATATAGCTTAATGATAACATCTCAGACTTTGCAACTAGATAAAAAGAGAACATCTTGATCGTTTGCATGAAGTCAGACATTTGGCCAATACTCGAAAGGTCATCACCCTCTGAAATACTTCCTGAGTGCTCAAACAGAATCAGATAGTTTTCCCATGGGGCCACTACCCGGGCCTTTGATCTAGAGGTCTAATCCACAAGGCAGTGTAGAGACGTTAAAACATGCGATACCGTGGTAGCCGGTGATCGACAATAGGTTCATACACCATTTGTTCCCTCATGATCCTAAAGCCAATGTGCACAATTGGTTTAGAATGAGGGTTTTCCAACTCCCCTAGGTGAACATAGAGGGTCCACCTACCAACTCCCATTGGAGCGGCTGTATACGCGTGACCATGTGAGAGCACTTGGAGAGGGAGAAATGACTCTACCCACCCTCGGCGGTACCAGGGTATTTGAGGGCTGAATCAATACTTTCATGCATACAGTTTCAAATAAAATTTCAAAAATTATCGTATTATGAGGAAGTACATGACTTACTGCAATAACTTTCTCCTTGATCCCACCGACTGGTAGAACTTTACCAGTTAAACTTATTTCACCAGTCATAGCTAGATTAGGACGAACAGGTTTACCACATGCTAAACTTAACAAAGCCGTTACCATAGTTACTCCAGCGGATGGACCATCCTAGTAACAATGAATAGGAAAATGTACACAGGATAATAACGATAACAAACGAGGGGGGATAAGCGGAAGAAGTATGGTTGTAAACTGTACAAAATGAGAAACAATAAACGACTGACTGTTATATTCTGTGCTCTGTCCGAGTCTGATACAGACATACAAGCTTTTTATGCACAAATCTGAATCAACTAATTAAGTGGAAAAAACTGTGAGAGTGAGGACTAAAAACTGAATTGGAAATATATACAAGGTAGACACCAAGCTCCCATACCTGATTAGCCAGATGAGATGCAAGTAACAGAAGAGATCAAGATACTGTAGTAGCCGCAATAAAAAGACTAAACCGTGGAGATGTGCTTTAAGAAGGAATAGTGGAGAGGTAAAATGAGAGGATAGTGGGATCGAAAATCCAGGAGTGGATGATTCTGAATCACGTTACTCAAAGTTTCTAACAACTTATCGCGTTTATCTCACAAACACTAACCAGGTAGTCTACAACTGTCAACATGAATCAATACAACGATCGATGACTCCATCGTTAGGCATACGTAACGAATGTCATAAACACCTCGGCTGATGAAGATACACTACCTCGTTAACCGATTCGTCATCTTTTACAAGTAGCCCAATGTCAAACCTCAACAATGCCTATTTGGTGATTTCATGAAATGTAAGCAATGCTTCGAAAACACCTATGATCAAAAGCCTTCAGTTTAAAAATGTTTCTTACTTTTATGGACCGTTTCACAGCCATAAAGTAAAGCACAGCTGACTGCTGCGCAGTATATACTCCCGTTGGTTGGTAGACGTTCATCTCTCCGGTAGCATAAGTGACTTGGCAAAGGACAACCGAGCTTACGTCACACGCCAACCCACCAGGACTGAATCTTCTAGAATAAGTAAAGTAGCTAACGCACTCAACAACTTTACTGCCTATCACGAGAACAAGTGTTGATGTCGACCAGTCTTGAAGCAAAAATTTGCACTTGGAGAAAGAAAAATCTATCACAAACATGCTAGCATTGTTGTTAAAGGTGATCAAGAGATTTCGCATTTTTTCGGCGTCTTCACTAAGTAGAGTTATGTCGTTTGGCTCGGCAATATATGTACACTAATAAATATAAATCCTACTCCCTCAGAAAATCAAGTCACGCTTTCAACCAATGGAATGTGCTTATCGTTTAGTACATATCTGATTAGTCAAAATCATCACTAACCTTAGGTGTAGCACCTTGAGGAACATGTAAGTGAATATCGGATTCTTGAAGGAATAAAGCTGCTTTTTCAGATTCCGTAGGACTAAGCATACACTGTTCATGATTATTAATATTACTAGCACTGCCATCATCAGTAGTAGTAGTTGTAGAAGAGCATGGAGCACCGGAAGCAGCAAATTGTGTAGCAAATGTGTGAGCAATAGATATAGACTCTTTCATAACTTTTCCCAAACTTCCAGTTATTTGTAAAATACCTATGAAATGCATATAAAAAAAATAAGTTATACACAGGAATGACGATTAAGGCTTTAAGCGAATCAGAACTTTGAAAAGGGACCTATAAGACTAGACTATTGATTATTTTCAGTTACAATAAAAGTGTTCAGGATAAGGTTCTTTTTCTATTACACGGAAAATATTTCTTCATAACTAATCTCTGTCAAAACCTAGTTGGATTAGAAACAGTAAAGCTATAGAGAACGATAGTCACTTTACTCATTCGGGAAGTCTCGTCAGGCTCTTGGGAAGTTGATATAGACGTCGACACATCCTACTGCAAATGATGGTTGTATAATATACGCTAATTGATTAAAGCTAAAATTGCATAACACTGGATATTAACTTAATGGTTCTTGCATAATTTATTCGCAATACGGTCTCAAAGTCATGAGTTCCACATTCTTTGAACGAATTCGTATGTGAGGATTCCTGAGGAACGGCAAAATTAGAACAAGCCATCTAGAAATTTAGTTAGAATCAGTGGATAAAGTTAGTTAACTTAAAACTAGAGATAAAGCCAACATATCTTTTGAAATCGTTAGTCAACGTTTTATCATACGTTTTTGAAATTGTCCCGTCCTACCTGGGACTCTTCGACAGGATTTACCTTCATTACAATGCTGATATTAACATTGAAACTGACTGTAAGTCCCAAATAGAACAAAATGAGCTTCCTGAATCTCACTACCAGCTACAACTCAACCTTAATAAATACTATCGATTATTATCAATTAAAATGTAGAAAAATTCACTAAACGAACCTTTTTTATTGGATACTTCCTCCGAATCACTACTATCACTGTGTGAATCAGTAGTATTGGTAGGTTGATAGGAATATCTTGGTTTTTTATTAGTACATTCAATATATAGAACAGAACCACCCATTGATGTCCAAGCTAAACCCATAACAACTCCAGGTGGTGTGATAGAATCATACAAACGATCTGATGTCCAAATTGGTTGACCAACATATATGGTTAAGTTATCACTGTCAACTGAAATTGGTGGATCTTTCTCTGCATTGACTAATTGATAAGCAACTTTACGAACAATCTGTGTAAGAATAATGAAAAATGAAACAATTGTAGGGCAGGTAAGCTATGCCTTCATGTTATCCATGTAGAGATGTATTTCTTAATAGAACAAATAATAACAACTTCATTTTAATCGGTTTCAAGCTTCATATTGATGATGTCTGCCTATGACTGTCCCAATTTAAACATGACAGTTAATGGTTAAGACATACGACTTTCAGCAGTTAAGTTCAAGGTTCGAGTCCCGTTACACATATTTAGGTTTGGGTAACCGGGTAGTATGATTAGCTTTACACTTAGAGAGTGGCTCACATACAAGTACCAGGAGAATAAGTTAAATTTTGTAGTGAGAATTAATCGTCAGTTCATCAGCTCGAACGAATCTAAAAAATAATGGTTAATCGCAGTATTTGGAAAGTTAGAAAATGAAAGGCCCAGTAGCTTAAAAAGATTTTAAGATTCCAACATATACAACTAATTATTTGAAGACGTATCTAAGATGAAGTAATGCAGGAACCTAAAACACACTCTCAGTCTTTAAATTTATATTAACGGTCATAGTACGTTAGTCTATCTAGAGTGTTGTATGATAGGGATTTGTCCATTCCTGGTCGTCCACTCTTCTTTTCGACGTATCAGAAAAAGGAACTGGATTATGTGTGGTCTTGAATAACTGGAAGAATAATCACAGAGCTCAATTGTCAAATGTTCGAGGGAGATCCCATATCGTCTTTGACAGTAGTTTTACATGCATTCGTTCCATACTTTTAAGATTACACTATGACAATATCTTATATTCTTTAGAATCGATTATTTCTAACCATTTTACAACGTTATGAGAAGTTGATATTTTTTAGTCTTACCGTTCTTCAACCTATCTAGCTAAATAAAAACTAAAGGAATGACTATTCCGTAAAATATAACCAGACCAAGTAATCATTATATATATATATATATATATATATATATATATATATATATATATATATATATATATACATATACATATATATATGCAAAGTTCGATCACCGAGTCAAGGTAGTCAACTTTTATTTATTTACTTATTTGAACACATAAATGTTGGTAAAAAGGGGCACCAGATATATATGCGTCACACAAATCAAATGAGATTTGTGTGAAGGCTGTGATACTCTCCGGGTGCCCAAACTGAAACAATTGGTTTTCTTAGGGGCAACACCCGGAGCCTTTGAACTAAAGATCTGATCCACAAGGCAGTGGAGCATCGTAAGGTGATGCAGTCCCATGGTAGCCGGTGACCAATGATTGATTCATTGTTCCTTTAGGATATTGGAGCCCATGTGCACCATTGGTTTGGAATGAGGGTTTTCCAACTCCTCTAGGTGAACTTTCCGTGTCCACCCACCCGGTTAAAGCACCGGACATTCACATTTCGTCCTTTCAGTTTCGTAAACAACAGTAATGCCACGAGAAGGCAGTGATTAAGACTTCCCTGGTTGTGGGCACCCGGAGAGTATCACAGCACTCACACAAATCAAATGAGATTTGTGTGACGCATATATATCTGGTGCCTCCTTGTCCCAATATTTATGTGTTTAAATAAAAAATATCTTTTATTGAGATATTCATTAGACTAATATTATCTTCAATGAAGTTAGTTCAGATTCTAGTAGTTAAGCTGACTGAGATATCTACAGTTAGAGTTACGTTTTACATAATTCTATACGATTTGTCTCAATCATTGATTGTTCCAGTTTTATAAGGAAATAATAACATATTCTGTGATAGTCAGTCACAACGTAAAACTTCGTATGTACGTACATCAGTTCGAGTTGCCATACCACATTAGCACAGAGATGCAGTTGTCCATTCAGATCCCATAGTGGTAGAGGTAGTAAGAGTATAAGCATTAGTGTGAAAGACTAGGGTTTGGATATGTTATTGAAGGAGTATAATACAGTGAAATAAATTTAGAAAGAGAAAAAGATAGAGACCTGAAGAATTCAGAAGATTAGAATTTGGCAGAACACAAAAAGTGGATGCAACTTCGCCATTGCAAACGATTTTGAGCCTTGTCATTCAAGGTCTCTTACTATCGATTGCTATCATATTCTGTGATAACCATACAGGAATTAGTTTGACTAACATATAATATCGAAATTATTAGCCTCAATACTTATGTGACGCCTATATGGAAGGAGGGAACAGAAAACTAGGGAAAACCGAACTGTATCCACATATGACCTTGTATATACTGATCAAATGTTGACTATGTTAGACGGTTGAGGATAATAATACATAACAACACCCAACTCCAAATATTCTGGTATAGCTGAGGGTGGAAAGAGTCTGCTCTCAATCTCCAAAATGCTCTCATATGACCACGTGTATATATAGCCACTGACAAAGAAGTCCACTAAGGGGAGTTGGAAAACCTTGACTCTAGATCAATGGCGCACATAAGCCCCATGATCCTGAGGGAATAAATAAATGACGTATGAACCTATTGTTAGTCTACAATGAGACTTCATCTCCTAATGTTGCTTCATTGCCTCGTAGATTAAACCTGAGTCAAAGGCTCGGGTAACTAAAAAGTGTCTTTTATTCTTTTATATCTAGAGTTCCAGTATCTTTTTATACATGCCTTCTACTCAGATAGCACTTTCAAGGTTTAGATTTTGTCACTAGCAATGGTACTATGGTTATTTCGTCGTTTTTAATATTCATCAAGTTCATTTCATTTTTTTCTTGCCAAGTAGGCATGACAACTTGGACTGAAACACATTTGTGCCAAACTTAATTGGTTATGATTGGAGAATGAGACTAATATAGAAGGAGCAAACTATTAGGTCAGTCCTAAGTTTCGTGTTCATTGACACGAATCAGTAGTCTGAAAATAACCTACTTACTCACTGTGCAATCTGATAATTCTAGGCTTTATGCGGTGTGTGGATACAAACATTAAGACAGTCCTATTTTACAAAGCTGAAACTTCGAGAACCACTACAACCATCATCAAAAGGGTATGGGTATTTACCGATAGTCATTTAGGCAAGATACTCAATATCCGTTAGCCGGACATCATCAGCAACAACTTACACTTACAGAGAACAAACCAATTTTTAGCTGAAGAGGAAACAGGAAAAGACGTTACAGATGGATAGGAAATACACTGTGGGAATCATCAAATTGCATCACGATGTAATCCCTAACTTGGAATACTCAAGGCAAAAGAGATAAGCCAAAGAACACATTGAAACGGGAATTGGAAGGAGAAGTCAAAAGAATGAGCAGGACTCGGCAACAAGTGGGAAGATCTTAAGACAACGTTAGTTGGAGAATCCTGGTTGGCTGTCTATGGTCTATGAGGGGTATAACAGGCGGAAGTAGCTGTGAGTGGAATAATATATACATATATCCTTCATTATTTCCAAATGTTCTCCGAGTTAATATCATTTCACATTTTGAAGAAAACCCTTTAAATCTCTTCATTTTAATGATAGTCTTAGACATATGTAATCAAACTGATCATGTTTAAGTTTAACATTGTACAAGTTACTTTAATCCACTGATTACTACTGATTAATAATTATGAATAGTTGTATGATTCAGACAGTATCAGATGGTTGGAGGCAGTCGACAGAAAGTTCTACTTGACCTAAGTTTCCTGCTAGTTAAAACTCATAAGCAAAGCATTCTTCAACTTTCAAGGGAACTAATGCTCCTTGAAAGATTTGAACTCGCATCATACGACTTCAGAGTGTTATATTTTACTGTTGAGTTATTAAATAGAGCCTGAATTGAACATCTACGAATGTCTCATGTTAAAATACAACTAATACTATTTTCAACAACTGACGATATTGTGGTTGAAGGCTGATATTTAATATTTAGAGAATTTTCATAGCTGAAATCATGAGTCAATTGAAGCTAGACCACCATGGAAAACCCGGAAGCACTGGACGGCCATTTCGTCGTGGATTAGTTGAAGTTAGACATTAACACCGTTGGATGCTGGCTCAGTGGTCTAGAGGTTAAGCGCTCCGGCGCGAAGCTGTTAGGTCCTGGGTTCGAATCTCGCAGGTGCGGGATCGTGGATGCGCACTGCTGAGGAGTCCCATGATAGGATGAAAAGGCCGTCCAGTGCTTCCAGGTTTCCTATGATGGTATACCTTTAATTGACTAATGATTTCAACTATAAAAATACTGAAATTTCCACAAAACCCCTTCTGATTTAGAGAATTAACTGAACAGTGCGTTGTAGACAGTTAACTTGTAGTCATTTAATTTCTGAGAGTGATTATTTTTCCATCTACAATCAGTCAACTAGTTACTAACGATCACAATCAATAAATTTACTAGGTACAAATCTATATACTTAGCTTTTAATCACACTCTAAATTTAATGACCAGTAATACTATCCGAAGTAAGTGAAGCAGGGTTCGAGCTTGGGACTTAGTGATTGAGAGTCAAATGTTTTCATTACCACTCCATCACAACTAGTATAGTTATAAAATACAATTAAAATCGACTAGACTTACTTTTTCAATATGCTTTTGTAGATTACGTACACCACTTTCACGACAATATTGTTTAATTAAACGTTTTATTGCATTGTCATCAACTAAAAGACGATTATCATCTAGACCACAATTTCGAGTAGCCAATGGAAGAAGATAACGCTGTGTATAACAAAAAATAGAGATAAAAAAGAACGTTTACAATGATGGAGAATATTTATAGTTCAAGGTAATAGTTCTAGCGGTGTTTTATATTACATAAGCGCTTAAATTACGTGGAACTTGAATATTGAACCTTCAGTCTTGTGCAAGAACACTTAACCTCCAGATCACTGGACCGGTATCCAGTGGAGACATTCGGAGATGGTCGTGAAACGTCGTTGATTGATTTAAGTTACGCAGGAACACTGTTGAATGCCGATTCAGTGGTCTAGAGGTTGAGCGTTCGCGTGAGAAACCGGAGGTACTGGATTCGAGTCCACATACAAGGATCATGGATGCACATCACTAAAGAATCTCATATAAAACGAAGAGGCCGTCCAATGCTTCAAGGTTTTCAATGATCTCACTTAGATCGATTCATGATATAAGTGACAAATCAAATTGTTGAAATCATAGTGCTTCTATGGACTAAAACATTTACCAGATAACTTTAAAATACGAATGTACAGCTTAAGTAAATAACTTCAAATACTGTGTTGTAGTTTTATTTATTTATTTAAACACATAAATATTGGTACAAGGAAGCACCAGATAAATATGCGCCTCACAAATCTCATTCCATTTGTGTGAGGGCTGTGATACTGCCCAGGTGCCCAGACTGAAGCAGGTGTTGTAGTTTTAGCCGATTTTTGTAATGAATAATAGAACTCACTTTTGCAATGGCTAATTTTTCTTCTTCAACATAACCGGATACTTCAATTACTTCCATACGATCTCTTAATGGTTCTGGAATTGTATCTAATTGATTTGCTGTTGTAATAAATAATACACGACTTAAATCTACTGTAACATCAAGATAATGATCAAGGAAATTGGCATTTTGTTCTGGATCAAGTAGTTCTAATAAAGCACTAGCTGGATCACCTTGCCATCCACGACCTAATTTATCGATCTATAAAATGTATAGAAGTACAATGGAAAATAAACAATGATAGTTGATAAAATGAAGGAAAAAATCAAACCTAAACTAATTTATTGTAGGAGTTGTACAGTATCGTAAAGTATCCAATTTTGATGATGATACACAATCTTTCTATACACAATCTTAACCGGTTACTCGGATGAAAAGATTGAAAGTGGGAAAAAAAGTTTATTGACTAAATAAAGTCGAAAAGGTACGTATACTCATTTAAAGCACCAATGATGTATGCTTTATCACTTAGAAATATGAGCTATTCCATAGGCACTTATCATATGACCGATCTCTGATTGTCAACATGGATCAGAATATTTCCCAGAAAATCAAAGGAAAACATATTGTTTTTAGTACTTATTTTATTTCATTTAAATACATAAATATTGGTACAAAGGGGCACCAGATATATATGCGTCACACATATCTCATTTGATTTGTGTGAGTGCTGTGATACTCTCCGGGTGCCCAAACTGAAACGGGCTGTTTCCCTAGAGGGCCACACTCAGAGCCTTCGATTTGGAGGTCTGATCCATAAGGTAGTGGAGCATCGTAAGGAGATGCATTCCCATGGTAGCCGGTGGCCAACGATTGATTCATACGCCATTCGTTCCCTCAGGATAATGGAGTCAGCACATGTGCACCATTGGTTTGGAATCAGGGTTTTCCAACTCCCCTAGGCGGACTCACCGTGTCCACCAACCCGGTTAGAGCGCCGGACATTCGCTTTTCGTCCTCTCAATTTTGTAAACCACACCCCCGCCACGAGATGGCAGTGAGTAGGACTTCCCTGGTACAGGCTATACACGCATGGCTATGTGACAGGATTTAGGGAGGGAGGGCAAACGCTCCGCACTCTCAGCCGTACCAGGGCATTTGGAGGCTGTTTTCAGTACTAGTTGCTTTTTAAATAACTTTTGAAATCACATGGCTGAAGGTTTTTTTTCGATGAACTGAAGTTTGGAAATTAAGTGTCTAATTCTCAAGAACAGTGCGATATATTTCCATACATACTCGGCCATTATTCCATATGGTACCATCGTTGATAGATGCTGTAAGAAACTTTTTTACTTTTTTTATCACATTCATAATTGCTAGAAGGCTAGGTAGAAAAGTGACTTTAATGAAGGTGTGCATAGTTATTGATGTAAGGTCTTTGTTAAGATTTGTATGCGTAAGTGATATTCATCATGGATTGGTCTTAAATGAGATATTACTGGAGACTAGAGAGCATTAATACTTAAACCGAGTATAGGACCCTAGACTAGTGCCGAACCAAGAATTCGTGCCTACCAGTGCAACCATTATACAATAACAATATACTAAATTTCTAGAGAAATGTGTTATATCCCGCCCCCCCCTCAAGATATTTTGAAATCATTTCACGTTTATGCGTAGTTCAAAATAATCCCATTCGTTATAGTTTGCCCACGATTCGATAATGATTAGAATACGTAAACCTTTTGTTACCAGGTATGAATGTGTTATAAATAGTTTCATACATACATGTATATATACATATAAACACATACAGACATGAAAGGAATAAAACTTACTTCATCAATTAGAATAAGTGGATTTTCAGTTTTAGTTTTTTTAAGACATTGAATAATTTTCCCAGGCATAGCACCAACATAAGTACGTCGATGACCTTTAATTTCAGATACATCAGACATTCCACCGACAGAAAAACGAAAATACTATAAATAGAAAAAAGATAATGAATACAGTGGAAGCATAAAATTGAGTAACATTGAATACAGAATGTAGGCTAATGGGGGCGAATAATGAAAAATTAGTTTTGGAGGCTATGAACCTTTATTGGCTGTAGTAATAGGGATATGTTTAAATACCGAACCTGGGGATATGTTAACACAATGATGATGATGTGGTATTAGCGCGCGAATCCATCGACTACCAGCATAGGGCATCTCTAGTGATGAAGACCTATTTAGATGGGGTCCGTGAGGTAATCCTAACTCGCAAGTACTTGGTTATAAATATCTTCAAATGATTCCTCGTACCTGTTGGAACAAAAATGGGTGTTAATATTGAGTTAAATTTAAGTTACCGGACAGAAATGACAGATCGACTAAATTTCTATCAACTTATATGGTTGAGGCAGATATTATTCATGATAAACCAACCATCAACCGCAATACATGAAGTAGGTTGCAAGAATTAAACAGTGACATCTTAAAGGTCAAAAACAACCAATCAACACCGAGATCTAAAAGATAAGCTATGAGCCATATTGTAGAGAAATTCGAATACTTCACTCCTACTTGATGTTTGTGCTGATGACGTCGTTCAGAATAACGATGAAAGCTCGACGACTAAACCATCCAGCTTAGAGAAACTAAACCCCATCATAAAAATTGAAAGTTATAATTAGGCAAAAATGGCTTTGATAGTCAATCTAAGGCATGGAAGTAGGTATTGACTACCTTGGTTACAGTCCAAACAAGCAATGTGACATGGCTCGAAAGTGATTGTTGTGGAGGCGGCGTTACATCAGTCCTCCATTTTGCTTTAAATCACGACATATACATTCATACATCATTATGCATATTATTCACATAACATATTCAGGAGCGTTTATGAGAAGTTCACGACTTTTCGCTGCACATATCATCAAAGACATCGTGGTGGCTGGCGATATGCATCGAAAAGAATGAACATTATTCAGATGTTCATCTATGAACTGATAATATCTAACTGACGATCACTTAATATTTATCGTCAGAATCGATCAAGAAGTAAGAAGAGGAAACTGCTTGAAACACTTTATGCTGAGATTTCTGTATTGTACTACAAATATAATATTGAATAAAGTCAATAATAATAATAAAACAGGACAAACTTTTCTATTTAATGCACGAGCTATTGAATTAGCTATACTGGTTTTACCAACTCCAGGTGGACCACAAAAACATAAAATTTTGCCTTGTGTTGAACCTTTCAATTGACTAACTGCAATAAATTCCTATAAAAGAAAACATAATAAAAAGGAAAGGGGTTATTTCGAAAGAAAAACAAAACAAGACAACTATAGACAAAGAATAGTCTTCGACAATAATCAGAAGGAAAAAAGAGAAAACAAGAGAAGTGTCAAATGTTTGTGTGATTTATTCACAAGAATGAATTTGTCAATAGGTATTTCAAGTCAAAGAATCCAAAACTAAACAACAAGTGACCTGTTAAATTTTCACTCATGTAAGATGATGATGTTAATATGCACAGAAATAACTATCAACTAGCGTTTCGTGACTGAAAGTAAGCCACTTCTTCAGAACAAATAAATAACCGTTTATCATAGTTGAAAGCGTGAGTCAATTGAAGCTAGACCACCATGGAAAACCTGGAAACACTGGACGGCCGTTTCGTCCTATTATGGGACTCCTCTGTTGTGAGATAGAAACTCACTGAAGACAATTGGTGAATGGTTGCTCAACTTCGTGGATCAGTTGAAGTTAGACATTAACACCGTTGGATGCCAGCTCAGTGGTCTATCGGTTAAGGGCTTCGGCTCGAGACTGGTAGGTCCTGGGTTTGAATCTCGCTCGCGAGAGTGGGTTCATGGATGCGCACTGCTGAGGAGTCCCATAATAGGACGAAACGGCCGTCCAGTGCTTCCAGGTTTTCCATGGTGGTCTAGCTTCAATTGACTCACGCTTTCAACTATGATAAATACTAAATCTCCACAAAACCCCCTCTATAAATAACCGTTTATTTATTTATTCTGAAGAAGTGGATTACATTCAGTCACAAAATGTCAGAAATACAATTTTTCTACTCATTAGAATATGACAAAAAATATATTTATTATTGCCCTCAAATGTCCTAGTACGGCCGAGGGTAGGGAGAGTCCGCTCTCCCTCTCCAAATGCTCTCAAATGGCCACGCGTATACATTCACTAAGAAGGAAGTCCTACTCACTGCCTTCTCTCACCACGGGTGTTTTTTACGAAATTGGGAGAACGAAAAGCGAATGTTCGGCACTTCAACCGGGTTGGTGGATATGGAGGATCCACACAAGAGAGTTAGGAAACCCTGATTACAAACTAGTGGTGCACATGGGCTCCAGGGTACTAAGGAAACAAAAACGGTGTATGAATCAGTTGTTGCTCACCGACTATCATGGGACTGCAACTCCTAACGTTGATCGATTGCCTTGTGGATCAGACCCTTAGGTCAAAGGCTTCGGGTGTGGCAACCTAAGAAAACCACATGCTTCGTTTTGGGCACCCGGGCAGTATCACAGTCCTCACACAAATCAATGATAACTGCTACTGGCCTAATTGTTATTGTGTGGCGCATATGTATTAGGTGCCCCCTTGTACCATTGTATATGTGTTCAAAATAGAAAGAAAATATTATTAACTTTCTACCTAATGCACAATTTACTATCAAGTCCAACCTTGGCATCGATACACATCGACTAGCGGTTAGAATTATGTAGTGACCAATGTGAATGTTAATTTGATCATCATATATATATGTAACAAAAAGCCTAGTCAACAAGTTTAACATCGATATACAAAAGATGCCAACTACTTACCACCTCCAGTGGTTGTCACTTATATATCTGTGGACTTACACAATCAAGTATGTTAGAAAAAAAACGATTATATTATGATTTGGGAGAATATCGGAACATAAGAGACTTTGGTGACTTTATAAGAAGACATATCATGGATAAAAGTCAATTAATAGATCCCGGTAGTTTTTCCAAGTGACAAATCGACAGGATAACAACAGACTTTTATATTACATAATAATAAATTATTCAATGAAACGTTTATTCATAACATTTTAACGATTACGACTTTTGTTATTACGTAACTATCGCCCCCTTTTTTTTACCAATCATAACAATTGGCATTTTTCTTGTACTCAATTACGTCATGATCCCTCAGTCTATCACTAATTCTGTTGGCCAGAAAAATCAAAATTTGTATAAAGATGAAAAGTAAATGTGATTATCAGTTTTTTACTAGTGAACTAAATAACTTTATATATATTGGACCAACGACACACAGATTACTATCAACTACAGTAAATATACATTGAGCTTCAGTAGTGTACGTTCCAAGACCCCTGATGCGGGAATCAAACCAAGGATCTTTGATGTTGCGCGCGGACACCTAACCCCTAAACAACTGAGACAGAAACAAATAAAATCTAACAGTCTCTACAACCCCATACCGATAATTATGATGTGCACACTAGTGGATTGTTTCAAGAGGAAATTTCCGAAGTTTTAGCGACAAGCCGTGACCAGTGGAGCTAAACTCTGTCAAGTGCGAGGCGGTTACCCACCGAAGACAACAGAAGATGGATTGATTAAAGTTAAATATGAACGCTACAGAATTTCCGCTTAGTGGCCTAGAGGTTAAGGGATTGCACGCAAGGCCGTAGGTCTTGAGTTCGATTCGCGCATGTGGAATCATGGGTGAGCACTGATGAAGAGTTCAATACTGTGACGGAACGGCCGTTCAGTACTTCCAGGTTTTAAGTGTTTGTCCAATTCAAATCGGTTCCTGATTTCAATGTAACTCTCAGTTGCTTGACCAACTTAGGAAATGAATTTTTAGCTTTCAAATCTCGTGTTTATATTTTATAAACTGAACAGCTGATCTGTTTTGAACAAAAGCTTTTTTGAGAACAGATTTTTTCAGCAACACTTACAGTTTCACAGTTATTAAGCACTTAGTTATTACAAAACTCTGCCTGTAGCTCCTCCGTGAGCTACTGCCGGTCCCAAGCCCGGGTAAAGGAGGAGGGTTGGGCATAGGGTTAGCGACCCCATCGCGTAGAAAAACCAACTCGCTGAAAAAACTCTAACCAGAAAGTAGTTAATACAAGACTTAGGATTCTTATTATTATTCGAAGATATCAAGTTTTTCGAAATCGTTTCAATGTCTATTACACTTTTATTCTCTGTTGAGCAAACCTTATCAAGTATCGGGAAGTTGTGAAGGGATATGAAAGCAGTAAGGTGGTTGCCTTAAAGAGCCAGAATTTTCAATGATATCATCTTTTCACAATAGAAGGAAATAGTTGGAAAAAGTTTGTATCTAAAAATAACACACCTCATGTTGGTTCCATGATTTCCATTGTCAGCCGTAAGGTCTGAAAAGTACAGAACTAACGCATAAAAAAAAATCAAGGAAAGGTTGTGTGGCTGATATTAGGGAGTTAGTCTTTCAACTTTCCGTTCACCTAACCTAATTTATTTTAGAGGTCCCTCATGAAGTAGTCTTCTACAGCGTGGACAACGAGGAAGTGACAACCAACCTCATACCTTTGATAACATCTGTCTCTCATACAAAATTAAAGATTGGAATGAATCAGCTATATTCAAAAGGATTAAAGATTAATTTACCAGAATACGTTTTTTCACATCATCCATTCCATAATGATCTTCATCTAAAATTTTCTTTGCTTGTCCAATATCTAAATGTTCTTCACTTGTTACACCCCAGGGTAGTGCAGTTAACCAATCCAAATAATTACGTGTTACACTAAAGAAAGTGTAATGTGTATTCCCCCGATCAGCGAAAGGAAAATAAAGGGAAAGTAATTAAAGTAGGAATAACACATGATACATTTATTATATTAGTAGAGTTTTGTTTACTGAACTGAATGTTTTAGCCGTGAAATTTTCATTATCCAACTGAACAACATCATCGACAAAAACTTCAGGTAGAAGTGAAGCATCCGAATTTCTCTAAATACGATTAATAGCTTGTTCTGTCATCCTCGATCTAGATGGGTTATAGTTGATCAATAACCTGTCATTGTCTGCATTTGATTCTTGGGATATATGATCATGATAAACATGCAGATAACGACAGGTTAAAAGTGAATAATCAATCGAGATCGAAGGCGACAAGACAAGCTAATAATCATATCTGGAGAAATTCGAATACTTCACTTCCACTTGAAGTTTCTGTCAATGATTTTGTTCAGAAAGTTTCAGAAGCAAGCCATTCAGCTCAAAGAACGAAACTCTACCGAAATCGTCCACTTGAGATATAAATCTTCGCTATTATATCAAAATTCATCATATTTTGTAAATTTTCTTCAGCTACTTATAAACAGCACTTATCGACTGAACAAAAGATTTATTGATCAGAATTGAAGGATGGGATTCATTACATATACCTAAGAATGATAGCTGTGAATAGTTAACATAACAATCTTCAACTTGTTGTGCTAACGAGGTATGGCAACTTGGACCGATGCATAAATGTGCCTGGTCCTACGTTGTAGCTGACTGGCTGACTGAACATGAAAATGGTTTATGATTAATATTTTGATTATTCTAAAACGAAATCTATGATAGATTTTATGATGTTGTTCGAAATTTGTACTAGCTTTTTTCCTACACGAAGACATCTTGTTCAGGAAGAACTTTGTGAATAAAGACTGATATTTTTCTTGTATTCCGAAAAGGTAACCAAACATCTGTATACTAAAGGTATACGATTCCAATTCAATGATATTTTGTCTAAACAAAGTGAATATGAGAAACATACTCAACCTCCAGTACTGATCTTAATCATGAGTAAAGCAATGATAATTATGGAACGTAAAAGATTGAAGTCATAAACAAAACAATATACTTAAAAAAGTGCATCATGGCATTCGATCAATATCTGAGATACAGAAATTTAATGAAAATCGATAAGTCCGCTTATTTTACTGTCACCAAATGGATACACATATAATTGCCAAAGCAACATTTCAAAAACAAAGAATATTGAAAAGAACAAGTGTTTTTAATGATTTCATTCCCGCGTTTATTATGCTTTTTGGCAAACCTCATATTCCTTAGAAATTTAGGGTCAACGCTTTTAAGTGATGGGTATCGCTGTTTCTTTGGTTTATGGATCTCATTACGGTGCTGCTTTCGATTTTGATTATGACTCGTATGATTCTTGCTCTTCGCCATGTCACACTACTGTCTGTTGACCTCGCGGTTAAGTGGTTATAAGTCCATCATTATTGCATTACAAACGCCAAAATGAGGCATGCTAGTGAAGTTAAAAAAAGATTAACTTTTGTCTTTGTTAAGACATAAATACTTTAAGTGTTTACAAGTGATTGATCACGGAGTAACGACCAATATCAAACCCTTCTTTAATGCTGATCGAATTCCATCGATCAAGTTGTAATGTGATCAATAATCTAAGTGATTTGACATAGAGTAAGGTGGTGGTTGAAAGGAAGTTGTCAAGAAAACCTGGAATTATGTTTCATGTTAGGTGACACAAAATCGAGTTCGTCAGGGAACGTTAGTCCCCTCAATCTATCGATGTGTTAAATAGCACTAAATCTAGATTAAAGGTTTTCAATTGACTACCTTCAACCACCACCTCATATACTTTAAAACTGTGTCATCTGTAAGTTAGAAAGGTCATTTTAATGAGATTGAAATAATTTGTTGTAAGGTGTTTAGTTACATTCAATATAAAACAAAATCCACAGTAGGAGAAATTTAATCTCGTTAATGTCATGTAATGAGAGAGGTGTTATTAATGTAATTATGACAAGAAATTCATGTGAATTAAGGAGGATGAATATGTAAATTGAGAATGGAGAGGGCCAGATATAAACACAAGGGGAATTAGGGCATATGGGTTTACAATGTCTAGAGTTTAGGTATATAATGATTTAATCGAAATCCAGAGTAAGCATAGAGGTTAAACACACCTCTTTTGGACAAATAAGTTAAGTTTTCCGGAGATGATCCGGATGACTTCCACTATGCCAAGAAGTTGTATTATTGTTCTTTTACAGAGATTGTTTAAAACTTGATATAAAACCAAGAATTCTTTATTTATTTTAATGTGATATTGGAAGAAAGCTGGGGGCGGACAGACCAAAACGTGGCAGAAATCCATGAAGTCATTGACAATTGAACTCAGCCATGTTGGTAGGTATAGACTACCTGGTTGGGATCCACGAGATGATAGCAATCGATGGTTAGAGACCTTGAATGACATGGCTCAAAATCGTTTGCACTGGTGAAGGTGCATCCACTCTTTGTGTTCTTTCAAATTCTAACCTTTTGAATTCTTCATGTCCCTATCCTTTTTCTCTTTCCAAATTTATTTCATTGGATTATACTTCTTCAATAACATCTTCAAACCCTAATATTTCACATTAATGCTTATAGTTTTACTACAACAACTGCAACTCTGTGCTAATGTGGTATGGCAACTCGAACTGATGTACTTACGTACGTACGTACGAAGTTCTACGTTGTGATTGACCGATTGACTGACATCTAATAAGTGAGAAAGAATGAGACCATTCATAGATTTCATATTACTTTTTCCTAACCATATTCACTAGTAAATAAGGATTGAAACCCTATAGATACAGTCTATATAACTCACTTCACAGAACTAATTAAGTTAATCAGATCAAATTTCTCCTACAGTATGTTTTGTCCACATTAATTATTTTTTTTTATTATATCGATTACAATTTGACATTTTTTTTTTATTACCACCTTATAAAGGATACAGTATTGAAATGTTTATGGTATATAACCCGATGCAAAAGTTTACTATTTTTTTCAGTACATAACATAGTTGGAATTACTTACACACATTCCTTAGGTTGAATATTGTAACATAATGATGAAATTATTTAGAGGAGGGGATGATCAGATCTGAACATGGCATTAATCTATAAAGTTATTAACTTTTAATCTGAGACATGTTGATTGATATAGATTACTTGGTTTCAATCTAAACGACTATCAAAATCAATGGTTGGATGAATCTGGATGACATAACTCAAAATCGATCACAATGGTGTAGGTGCATACACACTTTGTCTTTTCTTAAATCGCCAGATGAAAATTATTATCAGAGGGAGTTTTTTGTGGGGATTTCAGTAATTTTATAGTTGAAATCATGAGTCAATTAAAGTTAGACCAGCATGGAAAATCTGGAAGCATTGGACGGCCGTTTTACGAAAAACCTTTCTCAAAATAATCATATGCTCACTAGTGACTGGCTTCAAGAGATATTTCCTGGAGTTCTAGTGAGAAGCAGTGACCAGTGGAGTTCAACCAGGCCTGTTGTGAGATAGTAACTCACTGAAGATGTTGGCGGATGTGTCGCTCAATTTCGTGGATCGGTTGAAGTTAGACATCAACACAGTTGGATGCCGGCTCAGTGATTCCAGAGGTTAGGCGCTTGCATCCTGACGTCGAATATCGCGAGGCGCGATCGTGGATGGACACTGCTGAGAAGCCCCACAATATGACGAGACGGCCGTCCAGTTCTTCCAGGTTTTCCATGGTGGTCTAGCTTCAAATGACTCATGATTTCAATTATAAAAAGATGAAAATTACTTTATACCTTTCTTTCTACGGACTAATTCTTTCTGCCTGTATCATATCCTTATATGAAATGCTTTTTTACTACCATTGAAGTAACTACTTCTATCAATTTGGTGATTATCTTGTTGTGTTAATGAGATGTGGCAACTTGAACCGATGCATATATGTGCCTGGTCCTACGTTGTAGCAGACTGACTGACCGAACTTTTCCTTCCTTTTGACTATTCCATAGGGAATTATTTAATTATTGCAAGACAACAGTTGTCAATTGAATAAACGGAGTGATTATTTGTATTATTAATACTACTATCGACGTGCCAATTTTACTTGATCATATTGTTGTTATGTTTACTTCTAAATTATTACATTCAGAGTTCGATAGAAAATGCTGGTGGGTGGTCTATGCTAAATCATTACATTAAATTGTGTGATTTTCGTTTGTTTAATAATTAGAACGTATGTAACGTTTGTTATGCAACACGCATATTCCAGTCGATGTCATCGACTTCACAATATTTTAGTACAATCAAATGTCAGAACAATTCACTTTTCCTTTTGAAATACTTTCCAGCGACATCCTACTGACTGCATCCATGTGAAGGAGTTTCCCTTAGAAAGCAACAGAATATAAAAACAGAAGTCTAGGGGTAATGTTGGGTAAGCTTTTGCGGAGAGTTCATCTAGAGGTGGGGAATATAAAGACTCTGACTTGAGACTAGTGATGTGTATGGGATTCACAATACTCGGATATGGGCCGATTACAGTAGTTGGCTATGATGAGACTACATTTTATAATGTCGCTACAACAACTTATGTATGAGACCTTCAAGAGAGATCAATCAATGTTCCTTAAAAAATAACCTGTTTGGTTTGAGAAACCGAGTAGTACTATATTTCTCAAACCATAAATATACAACAGGAAGTTATTCCAAGGAACACTTATTCCATACTAGTATCAATTCAACCTTAACAAAATAGGATCTTCATGGTATTCTTAGTACGAATATCCAAATCTACTTATCGTCTGAAAGGATCCCGTAACTGTGAAGGAAATTAATGAGTTTTTGAGGTTTTCTATCAAACTTGCTGTAGCGAACTTCCCGACCGAGTTTTATTAACTGGGCCATAAATTTAATCATTGGAATAGTCCACTTCAATTTAAGTGGCCAGATAGAAGGTAACACATTGGATTTCTGATTGGTTGGGCTAATCAGACGTATATCAGTTTAAGGGTAAGTAATAGGTATGAGGTGTTGATAGGTGCACGCTATTTATAAACAAGTCTGTATACATCCTTTGATTTAGTTAGCCAATAAAACTTCCTATCTATTCCTTATATTCTTAACTAAATAATGGTTTGGGCCATTACACAGAAAGCCTACATTTCAGTATCAACATCAAATGATCGCCTAATACAATATATTCTAAAGGAAAACGAGGATTAAGGGCAATTACATGGATCTACAGACTTATATAACTGTATTGTATTGGCGTATTGCATTAAAATGTTAATAATGTAGTTTGAAAATGACTCTTTTATAAGGAAACACCAATTTAAAATAAAATTACTGACTTGAATTCTGAAGAGTGATTATCTAAAACGCTTAATTTATTCAATTCTTCATCGATCACTTCCATAACACTAGATGGAACTGTTAAATCCTGAAGGAAACAAGAAGAAATAAGCAAAAACTGACTGGTTGTATTAGAGTTTTATATATGTGTGGTAACTACCACTACTATATTCGTCGACAGTGATAAGAAGTAATGAAAAATTTAGAACATCTAAACACTGTGATGATCGACGCAATGGAGATGAGATTAGTTGTAATACGTCACAGAATGGAAAGCCAATTGCATCTCATCAAGTGGTAACCTTAAGTATTGATTGCGTTAGGCTGTTTTGTTGAGAGGCACCAAAGATTCCTTGACAGTCTCCAGAAACTCTTAAATAGTTTGAAAATGTTTTTGTAAAATTTACGTTGAATAGAAAATCCTCAGAAATATTTAGAAGAATAAAGGATTATTTCACGGACATCCTTCTCAGATGGTAAGGTTTCACGAAGTACGGAGCTAAGAAAAAAAGATTGTGTGATCGGCCTCGAGCAGTTGTCCCTTGGGGACTGCGGTCACGCTTTCAGATCACTAAAACCAACTCTAACCCAATTTCCTTTTAAGTTCCTTTTAGAAGAACCCTTCCACGAAGTGGGGAACCGGGAGGTGATAACCACCCTCATGCTTCTACCAACAGTCAAGATTGACTGAAAGGATTATAAGTCACACTTTGATTAGATAATTACTTATCTTGTTACCATATTTAGTATGTTTCCACAACTGTCATCTGAAACCTTATATATAAAGTCGATTTTCTGTGCATACACCAACTCTAGTACAAAGCTTTTACTCATAACTCACATCTTTTCTCTACTGTTTGGGCTCAAGTGTAAGAGTTATCTAAGGGGATAGAGGAAGAGACTAGGAAAATAGCAACGAATGCTCATGTACCAGACGTATCAAGTTTTATTGGTAAGTTAACAGACTGGAGTTATCATCGACTGTCTGTTATGGAATTGTCCAGTGCAGTGCATGCAGCTTAATATAAACTTCAGTCTCGTGCTCAAATAGATGCATTTTGGCCGGTCGTGGAATTCAAGAAGTATTTCTCATTCCATCTACGACTCGCTAACTGTATTGCATTTAATCTTAGTGTTGTTGTTGTTGTTTAGATTGAGATTGAAATCTAATACCTTTAACTTTATACATGCAACATGTCATCCACTGAACTACTGAGTCAAGATAACCACTAAATTGTCTAAAAATGTATGATGTCCAAATGATTATTAGTAAGGCTTTGAATTAGCCTGTTGAATCCCAAAGAGGACAAAACATTCATCCTGGACTCCACAGGTGGTTATATTATCGAGGCAATTCACACAGGATGCACACAGATGTCAACAAAGACCAGCTGAGACTCAGTCTTGAATATCAAAAGGTGGAATAATTTAAACCCGTACAACTAATGATCCAAAACAGAAAAAATGTTCTGCTTACTCCCTCACTCACCTTTAAACGCATACGAAACTTTTCCACAATTGTATCTTTATCATCTTTCTCTAAACCTAATTCTTTTTTAATTACTTTCAATTGTTCTGATAGCATATAACGTCTATGCTGTTGTTTAACTTTCTCTTCAACTTCACGACCTATTTGTTGTTGAAGTCGACCTAATTCATATTCTTTTTTAACTAGATTTAATGATAATCGAAGACGTTTATGAATATTCATTTCTTCTAAAACTGCTTGTAATTCTTCTGTATCAGCGGCACTACACATTGCAGCTCCTATTCATTTGGAAAAAAATAGGTAAGTAAAAGACATACAGGTGAATTATTGTAAGGTACTGTAAAGATGATTAAATATAAATTGGTTATACAACTGTTGAAACCTAAGAAACACAGGCCAGTTATTTTGTTTACGTATGGGAATCCTCAAGAGTCCACGACCACGACCCAGCCGGGGATCGAACTTAGGACCTTTAAGCATTACGATGAGATGATGAGTTGAAGTGCGGTGTCTTACATTTATAAATTCAGTCAATAAGCGATATTCTACGCAAAGTCAGTTAGTGTTGTGAAATCGGTTTTCAAGTACGGATAAAAAAAGAAGAAATATCTTGCCTCAAACGAAGGTTAAAAAAGTTTATTTTACGGTATCCGCTTTAAATTTTTCTCAATTTGTGCTGATACACTTGTCTCGTGTCTATCTCCGTTGTTAAAAATGATCTCTGAAGGTGTCCTTAGCAGTCAGGATTTAAAGCTGCTTTGCCATCTCAATTTCTCTCGTTTTCAAGTTGCACCAGTGTCAACCTCCCCCAGAAGATAATATTGCATCTCATGAATAAAAATAGGCTACTGCAACCGACTAAGTCTAGTGAGCGAAACAGGGTAAACTAGAGTGGTGATCGTATTGAAAACTAGAAAAAACTGGCAGACATTCACTGTTGAATGTACAACCATATTTCAGTCATGCAATACCCACTTATTAGGACCACGCATGACCCCTAAAATGTTTAAGCAGCTTTTACTACTATTCCTCTCGGAAGAAGTTCATGTATGTGCACTGGACAAACTGTAAGAACACGTATATATATCCGTCAGACTACAAGTGAACAAATCCCATTGACTATTGAGGATACTTCAAAATCCGCATACTTATTGACTTTATATTGGGATCTTATTTTATTTATGAACAAATATTCCTATTTTTGCATGCAAACATTTGTAAAAACGCAACACCTTTCATTGGACACTATGAACAAAGGCATATTTTCTCCCAGTTAGTTTGCTGTTCTTGTAATAAGCAAATGTATTTCCCTTACCTTAATTTTTAAGAATTATTGCCTTTGTTTGAGTCAATCTTCCTAGATCACTAGATCACTACCCCCAAATGCCTTGGTACGGCCAAGAGTGGGGAGAGTCCGCTCTCCCTCTCCAAATGCTCTCACATGGCCACGCGTATATAGCCTCTGCCAAAGAAGTCCTACTCACTGCCTTCTCGTGACATTACTGTTGTTTACGAAATTGAGAGGACGAAAAGCGAATGTCCGATGCTTTAACCGGGTTGGTGGACACGGTGCGTTCATCTAGGGGAGTTGGAAAACCCTGATTCAAAACCAATGGTGCACATGGACTGACTCCAGTATCCTGAGGGAACAAATGACGTATGAATCAATCGTTGGTCACCGGCTACCATGGGACTGCATCTCCTCATGATGCTCCACTGACTTGTGGATCAGATTTTTAGGTCAAAGGCTCTGGGTGTGGCCCCCTCAGAAAATCACCTGCCTCAGTTTGGGCATCTGGGCAGTATCACAGCTCTCACACAAATCGAATGAGATTTGCGCGGCGCATATATATCTGGTGCTTCCTTGTACCAATATTTATGTGTTCAAATAAATAAATAAATAAATAAATAAAGATCACTACCAAAACACCTTCAGAGCGCGAAGTTTTTTAAATTAAATTTATGCTTAAATTTATCGTAAACAGGTATTTGTTGAATCAAGATACCATACATCAAGGAATAGACCGATGAATACAGCTAGACAAAAAATATAAACACCTACCTAGATCGCTGAGGTATACAGGATTATCAGCAACACGTTGTCCAGCTTGGAGCATCGCAAGAACATTTTCTCTATGTAATTAGAAAAATGAAAAGAAGTTTTTGTTTAAAACAAAATACTAGTGAGCAAACTGACACAAAATCTATGCAGTTTATATACTTAAACTTAAGGTATCATTTTTAATGTGAGGGCTGGTCAAACTGAAGTCGGTTAAGCAAAATGTAAAATCCCTGAATTACGACTATACTACTTTTAAATAATTAGTACTACTAAGAGGTCCCGAGCATAGACGAAACGGCCGTCCAGTGTTCTCAGGTTTGTAATGGTGACCCAACATTGGTCAGTTCGTCATCTCAATAATTAGTATTTATTCTTTGTTTAGCAAACATAAAGTATACAACCGAGGCTATACTCCTTGAATTATAGCCGTCAGTTCTTGATGAAAATTCAAACTTTTATTCCCAAAACAAATTCCTAACCTCATTTCAATATTTACTCTGTGAATCTGATGGGGCTTTCTAGTCTCTTACTAGTGTATTCATCACCTTAAACTAATTGTGATTAATTGTGGAGCCATCGATGATTCATTTATTTTTAAGCATAAATAACTCTATGTAAAGAAGAGTTTCTTTTATAGTTTCAACTGATTTCAGGTGAATTATTCAGGTTAACTTGACGTAGCATTCAAGTGTACGACTATTAAGATGAAAAGTCAATCGATAATTTTGCTATCGATCTGCAAGTTCTTTCATTAACAACAACAACAACAACAACAAGAAACAAAGACTTTTAAGATGGAATATCAACTGTATTAGAACTTACCGATATACAGGATTAAGACTAATTATATCACGGATTGTCTTTACAATTTCAGCGCTTAAAGCCTAAATAAATAGATGAACAAAAAAGAAAGAAAAGCTGATAGAATTTGAAATGTAACTGAAGTTTGATGACTTTGATAAAAGTACAAAACACAAATGAATATTTAGGACTGCAACTGGTCAGTCTCTAATTGGTCATATGTGCATACTGTGTGTATTGCCTCGATATAGCATTATTTCACAAGCATTGTAAGCAAAGATGGATAGTGGTTAGCAGTGGAAATCCAGAGTGAACATCAACAAGTCTGAGATGCAGGTACATCCAGCAGACGAGTCCCAAATAGGATGAAACGCACGTCCTGGATTCCACTGCTAGCCGCTATCAATGTTTGCTTACAAATGAATATATTCATTAATTCATAAAGTGTACATACACTAACCTTGAAGTGAAGCGCTTATTTTACACTTAACGCTTTTTCTCTTGTGTTCAAGTTGTTGTTTAGATTTAGCTTGGGGTTACTATAAGAGCTTAGGAAACTGATTTGAGAGTTACGTTAGAAGATTTCTTAGTAGTGATGGAGAAAACTACAATGAACATTTCTTTTGAGCAATTAGAAGCCTATATAGAGCGTCAGGTAATACGGTGTGAACAGTCACAAATAAGAATCATGGAAGCCTTTAAGCAGAAAATGTGCATGTTCCCCGCTTCTGGTGAACTACAAGTAACAAATACCGATTCAATCATAAATGTCATCCATGAATTTAACTTTGGTGACATAGTACGTTTTACTTTTGAGTCATGGTTCAAGAAGTATGATGATTTGTTCCAGATTGATCTCTGCAGACTAGATGACACTTCAAAAGTCAGAATAATTTGAAGAAACTTGGAACCACAGAACATGAACACCATAGTAACTTAATTCTCAACAATTAGTACACAAAACATCCAGGAGAATATTAAACATCACTGATGAGACACATTGCGAAGTTACAGTCAAGGAAATAATAGAGGGGATAATATTTTGAGAGAACGTCCACTACTTGACTGGATAGAGGAACTGAAATTAACAGACTGTCCCATAAACACCAGTTGTACAATGAAAGTGGAAGAGAAAAATTTAATATAGGCATTGTTAAAACTACATAAAATAATATTTAGTGACGGGCATGGAGGATGCACTAGATTCAAAACTACTATTACCTTTTGACAGAGATCGAAGCCAGTGTTTTGACCTAAAAGACCTGTACCATATACTACCCTCCCAGTGGTTGAACAAGAGCTAGGACGACTTCATAAATTGGGTGTCACTAAACCTGTGAATTTTTCAGAATGGGCTGCACCGATAGTGGCAGTAAAGAAGACTAATGGTAGAGTCCATTTATGTGCCGATTGCTCAACCGGGCTAAATGAAGCCCTAGAAACTCATGAGTATCCCTTACCCTACCTGTCGATCTTTCTGCAGAGATAAATGGAGATAAGCTCGTTATAAAGTTGGATTAATCGGAAACATATTTACAAATCCCCGTTGCTGATGAGTGTAAAAATCTGTTCACCATAAACACACACAAAAGCCTATTCCGATACAATCGACTACCTTTCGGAATTAAGACGGCCTCATCCATAAGTCCATAAGTAATGGACACTATGCTACAGGATGTTCCAGGTGTTGCAGCCTATCTGGATGACATAATAATTATGGGAGTAGATAGAATTGACTTGGGAAAGAAGCTCGACCAGGTGCTGTCACGAATAAACGAATATGGACTTCGGCTCCGTGCAGAGTAATGTAACTTTTGTACGCAAAAGGTACGCTACCCCAGGTTTATAATCGACAAAGATGGCAGAAGACCAGATCGGTGGAATATCCAGGCAGTGAAAACTATGACTAGACCGACAGATGTCTCCATACTACGATGCTTTCTGGGACTAGTTAGTCATTACGGAGCCTTTATTCCTGATCTTCATCACATACGTGCCCCCTTAAAAAACCTTCTGGCGAAGAATGTAAAATGGGATTGGTTTGCAAATTACCAAGTTGCTTTCAAGGATATCAAGAAAATACTAGTCTCGGATTTGTTGTTCACCTATTAAGATCCATCGTTATCCATTGTAGTAGCATCAGACGCTTCAAACTACGGCGTTGGAGCAATTACTTTTTACATATTGTCCGATGGGTTTGAGAAAGCAATATCATATGCAGATAGGTAGTTAACTACGGCAGAACGTAACTACAGTCAGATTGAGAAAGAAGCAATTGTCAATTATCATCACTCTAAAGAAGTTTCACAAAATGATATTTGGACGTCAGTTCACTCTAGTAACTGAGCACAAACCACTGCTGGCCATATTTGGGTCAAAGAAAGCGATTACGGTATATACAACAAACAGAATGCAACAATGAAGAACTAAACTGTTGGGTTATGATTCCAAGATTAAGTACCAGCCCAATACTGATTTTAAACAAACTGACACGTTGATTGATTGGTTCACAAGTGAAACATGAAGCTAATCTGGTAGCAGCAATGGAGACAGAAGTTAACCGAGTGCTGGAAGACGCGGTTGATGGTCTACCGGTTAACTTCAGGACAATGAAAGAAGCTACGAAAAATGATAACATATTAAGAAAAGTTAAGGGTTATTTTCTCACCAAGCGACCAAACCGTCATTTTCAAGGAGAACTGCTACAACATTTTCGCAGGCGAGACTTACTTATGATTGTCGACTCATGCGTTATGTTCGGTGACAGAACCGTTGTTCCAAAAACATTGCGCCATAAGGTTCTGAAACAATACCACAGCGGCCATCCTAGTATCAATTAGATGGAATCGTTGACTCGAAACTATACTTACTGACCTACAATGGATCATGATATCGAAACTAGATGCAACAATTGTTCATAGTGCATACAAGCAGCCAAAACTCCACCGTTGACAGAATCACGACATTTGGCGGTTGATTCTATTACTGATTAAATGTTAACCTAGACGGAGTGTTTTAAGTTGACATTTCACATCTCAATTCATTAAATCAAAAGCTGTGTGTATAAATCACTAAACACAACGGAAACAACATAGAAAAACTAGAAAAACAGGACAACTTAATGTTAATCTTATCATTGACATTACCTTAATTTCTTGTGTATTTTCATACTGATCATGATAGAGATTAATTGTTTCACCGATTAAAACTGGTGAAGAAGAACCAAGGTCAAAGTTGTCCGATATTGTGGTAGCATTGGAACTATTACTGCTACTACTAATCCCACTAGTATTGTTATCTGACTGATTTTCACCTTTCATAGATGTGGTATTTTCCGAAGATGGCGATGATGATGTTTTATCACTTGATGGTTTAGAATTTAAAGATTCTGTGAATTTAACCGCGGCACGTTTAGCACGTCGAACTAAACTGTTACGTTTCCCGACTACTTCGTAAAATGTATATAAAGTAGAATAATAATGGATTAAAATACAACATAGAAAACAATGAATACAAAAATTTACACTAATCAGTCACTGCGTGAAAAATAATTTTGTGTTTAAAATGCAATGAAACCAACTCCCTTGGAATATAGCAATTATCATTCGAAATTAGTCACTAGAAAGCATAAAATGAATTTTAAGTGTAGATGGTTATGGAGATTGTTGAATTTCATAGTTTTACATCGTGGGTTGATTCCAATTACAAAAATCATTGGGAACAAGGTAAAAAAGGGTAGTCATTTTATCTCAGTATGACACTATCCACAAAAGTGAGAATCCACAACTGCCTCGTGGGTCGAACCCAGGGAATTAAGGCCTTGCGGCAAATGATTAACCTGTATTCCAATGGTTTACATCTCTAACTTCAATTAGCCCCCAAATGCCCTGGTACGACCGAGAGTGGGGAAAGTCCGCTCTCCCTCTCCAAATGCTCTAAAATGGCCACGCGAATATGTAACCTCTGTCAGGGAAGTCCTACTCACTGCTTTCTCACAGCATAACTGTTGTTTACGAAAATGAAAGGACGAAAAGTGAATGTCCGGCTATTTATTTTATTATTTTATTTAAACAGATATATATTGGTACAAAAGGGCACCAGGTACATATGCGCCACACAAAATAATGAAAGTAGCAAGAGAAGGGATGAAAAGATAAGGCGGACTGAAATGTACAACCAGAAGACTCTTTCAGTTAAGAAAGTTAGAACCACTCTCTATGTAGAAAGTAAAAGAAGGTTGCAGAAGGATCGACACTGGCTTCTATTCTGAGCCATATCCGATAACGTCTTTAGCCACTGTGTTGCACTATCTCTCGGACCCCAACCAGGGAGTCGTGAAGGACCAACAGAAGCTAGCACTTTGCAGCTTTCTTTCATGCCACGACACCATGTCATACACTGACCTCCTCTCCGCTTTCTCCAACCAGTCCCAGAGTCGGCAAATAATGCACGACGTGGAAGTCTCTGGGACGACATTCGTAAAACATGTCCAAGCCACCGAAGTCGGTGTTTCAAGATGGTGACACCAATTGAATTATCGTCTCTGCGCCCGAACACACGATGCCGAACCTCTGCATTACTAACATGGTGTTGCCACTGGATGTCAGCAATCCTTCGGAGACAACGATGATCGAACACAGAGTGACGTCTAACATCCTCAACTCGTAGAGGCCAGGTTTCACAAGCATAGAGCAAAACTGGTCTCACCGACGCGTTGTAGATCCGACATTTTACAGCCAGACTAACATCACAAAGGTGCCAAAGATGGCCCAGATTGGCATAAGCCGCTCTGGCTTTCCTTAGACGTGCATCAATCACATCACTCACGCCATCACCAGCACTTATATAGCTACCTAGATACACGAACTTCTCAACTACTTCAATCTGCTCACCATCCAGGGTGAGTACAGGATGAGAATCCTGCCAGTCTTGTAGGAGTACCTTGCACTTGGAGGGTGAAAAGCACACACGCTCCGACCACCAGGCTTCTCGGTCCTTACGCAAACTTTGCCCAATTTCATTACGTAACAGCCTTCGTTTGTGGTCAAACTCACGGTCACCCGGAGTAGACCGACGGGCTTCTATCAGTTGTAAGGAGCCAGAAGAAACCCAGTGCTTGTAAGCGGGACGTTTCGCTGGCCATGTGAGAGCATTTCGAGAGGGAGAGTAGACTCTCCCCACTCTCGGTCGTACCAGGGCATTTGGGGGCAAAGTGTAAAGTGTAATGTCCGGCGCTTTAACCGGGTTAATGGATACGGAAAGTTCACCTAGAGGAGTTGGAAAACCCTGATTCCAAACCAGTGGTGCACATGGGCTGACTTCAGTATCCTGAAGGAACAAATGGCGTATGAACCAATCGTTGGTCACCGGCTACCATAGGACTGCATCTCTTTACGATGCTCCACTGCCTTGTTGACTAGACCATCAGGTCAAAGGCTCGGGATGTGGCCCTCCTGCTTCAGTCTGAACAGTATCATAGCCCTCACACAAATCAAATGAGATTTGTGAGGCTCATATGTATCTGGTGCTTCCTTGTACCAATATTTATGTTTTTAAATAATAATAATAATAATAATAATAATAATAATAATAATAATAATAATAATAATAATAATAATAATAATAACTTCAATCAATGAGCTACCACAGGTGATGCCTTTATCATCCCTGACATGGTTGAGCAGTCGCAACCAATAGAGTTTGACCATGTTGGGCGTCACATTAATATCATCAGTAGTAATTTCATATTTCCTGAATTATTAGTGCTAATAAAATTCTATCGACAAAGTGGGTAATGTGGCCTCTAATCAAAGGACAGTATAAAACAATGTGTATTAACATATCTGGTTAAATGTTGTAAATAGTTAATAATGTCGATGAATATATCGATTATTTGGATGTACTATGTGTTTCGATGGAAAAATCCATGCAGTATAACTAAATCATGCTGATTGAACCGTAAACTGACCGATTTCATTAACCATTTTTTGCGATCACACCATTTTGGAGAGTACTATCATCGCTATTTAAATCGAATAAAATTATTCGAAGCGAAACAAAGGATCTGGTGGTTAAACGTCGAATTCATTGTTCCAATACTAAACAATGAGTCTGAGCCTAGGTTCAGCCTCGATAATTCAGCTTACTGTTTGGAGAAATTCATTTCTATTCAATTTTTATATTATACTACTTACTAATATTAAGTAATTTATACAATTATCCATAATTTTTAAACATGCCCCATCATTGTAAGCAGAGATGGATAGTGGCTAGTAGTGGAATCCAGTTTGACGCGCGTTTCGTCCCATTTGAGACTCGTCAGCTGGATGTACCTGCATCTCAGAGTTGATGTTCACTCTGAGACTAACCAGTTGCAGTCCTAACAAATCGATGGGAAGATTCAAACAAACAATACTAAATGAATGTCCCATCATTGATGTATAATATTTCTAGGTGTTCACATGAACCTGTGACATTTAATTTAACGATTCCCGTAACCATAGTCTCTTAATATACTAAACAATTTTTTTCACTCTTAATACATCTACCGAAAAGTTGTTTATTCATGACAATAAATATACTTTGCGCGAATAGTTTGGATTTATATTTGTTGTTTGAAATTGTTGAATTAACCCGACTATTGAGTGTTACTTCTTCGATCATACATTGACGTGTATAGATGCCTAGGACAATTCAAGAATTGAGGGTTTTTTACAATTTATCACTAATATAATCATTCTAATAAGAGTATCGAGTCTTGTACACTTAACACATTGGTTCTAATTGAAATTTTATACGTTACTCCGTCGTTCAGTTTGAATATCAAAGTGGATTTAACAACGCTACGTCAGTTCACATAACCAGTTCGTTTTATATCAATGCTAATGAAAAGATAGTAGGGTTTGAGAACCATGTACTCTAACATGTATTTGGTTATCAAGTTATTCTAAATTATATCAAACAGACAACTTCAACGTAGATTTTGATACAGATGTATGTTCGCACAAGTTCTCACACCTGATTATCATGATGAGATGATAATGACAAAATAGATCGAATAAATGTAGCAGCAATAATAAAAAGGAAGATTAAACCTTGCGAATATGGTTTGAGTGGAAAGGTTTGTATGAATGAATTCCGGTCAGTAAGGAGTGATTGCATTTGCGTCATTTCGAACGATTCTGAGTCACATAAAATATGTTTTTAAAAGTGAAATAATACAGATTATTACTGTATACTAACCTGGTAAGCTGGTCTCTTCTTCTACGGTATCCTCACCAACTGGACGAATCAGTTCAATGCTAAACACAATATACATGTATAAGAAAAGTAATTAGAATTAATTTACAATAAAGGGAAGCAAAAATGAAAAATCATTGCGAGAAAAACTTAGCGATGGAAAAACCAATGTCGCTAGAAATACTGATTGTTTAAGGGAAACACTTTACTACCCCCTATGCACATGTACATTCATCAGTACGACTTCATCCTTCAATCTCAGATTTGCTACTTCTAGTCTTACCGTTTTACAGATCACTTATTAGAAACGTTGGGAGTTAAAAGAACAACTGTTTCAGTAAATATAACTCAAATTGGTCATCATGATAAGCAAAATTGACAACTACGTCAGGGTGCCTAGCTACCAACAACTCCAAATATACGTTATGTGTACAGAAATGTAGCAAATAACAAACACACAGTGTATGGTAATACAAAAGATCAAACATAGAAGATATGATTCAAGAAAATATAAATTGGTGGGATACAAACAGAAAAAGGTTATAAGGAATTTAGCAGTTCAGAATTTGGAGGAAGACAAGAATGGATGCACCTGCTCCATTCCAAAAGACTTTGAACCACGTCAATCAAAGTCTTAAACCACTGGTTATGATAATCATGCAAACCCCAAACAGGTTATCTACAATTATTAACATGGTTTAATTCAATTATCAATGACTTCATGGACCGATGTCATATTTGGTTTGCCCTCCCCTAACTTTTTCCCAACCAACTCCTACACCGGAAAATGTTACCCGTCAAGGTAGGCGGTGGTTGGGGACACGTATCACATGTACCAACCACTTCACTTGATGAAGATTTACTACCACTTCAATAGGTTTGCCATCCTCACACAGTATCCTATTCCTAACCCAGAGATTTCTTAATTAGTGGTCCCAAAGTACATGAACAATGCTTCTGAGACACCTATGATCAAATATAAGTAACTTACGAATATCTTCTGTTTTCAATGGCCACGTTTCATATCTAAATAGTAGAACAGAGCAAGTTGCTACGCAGTAAACTCATTCCTTGATTGGCGGACGGATATTTTGCCTGCGCCTTCGTCCCCGAATGCCCTGGTATGGCCGACAGTGTGAAGTCATCTATCCCTCTCCAAATGCATTCACATGGCCACGTGCATACAACCACTGTCAGGAAAATCTTACTCACTGCCTTCTCGCGGCATTACTGTTGTTTACGAAATTGAGGACGAAAAGCAAATATCTGGGGCTTTAACCGGGTTGGTGGATACGGAGGATCCACGCAGAGGAGTTAGAAAACCCTGATTACCAACCAATGGTGCAAATGGGCTCCAGGATCCTAAGGAAGCAAAAATGGCGTATGAACCAGCTGTCGGTCACCGGCTACCATAGAACTACATCTCCTAACGTTGCTCCACTGAATTGTGGATGAAACCTTTAGGTCGAAGACTCTGGGTGTGGCCTTCTAAGGAAACCACCTGCTTCAGTTTGGGCACCCGGTGAATGATGACGTGTGACGCATATGTATTTGGTGCCTCATTGAACTAATGTTTATGTGTTTAAATAATATAAATCAACAATAAAACTCATTATTTGGTTGGCAGATGGGTATCGCGCTTACGCCATAACCGACGGAGATCGACAAAAACCAATCAAGCTTTAAAAGCATGCCCATACCTCACCTCTACAAATAATAAAGAATCGTAAAACTAGATTTGAACAAAAGTTCGAACAGTGTAAACATTGAAAAAAAGAACAAGAACATAAAGTAAAACGCATTTCATAAACAAAAAAAACTAACCGACGATGCCCAATAACTAGTAGTCGAATTTTCGAGCCTAAGTCATCCCATTCAGGAATGTGTACAAATGTGCCAACTCGATGTAATTCATCCATACTATTTGCAACATCTGACTGTCTAAAAGAAGCATCAAAATCAAACAAGTGAATTACAAACAAGACATGGATGATGCTAAGATAAATAGTCAGTTAAAAATGGAATGTCTATGTGTTAGATCCGAACGAAGAATAAATGAATGGTAACCGCTAGGATCTATGTATGGACTGTTATTACGTATATTATTATTGGATACTTATTAAGTAACTAGATTATATGTATATTCATATTCCTTTTGTCATAAGCTGCCATTTGACACATTGACTACTATCATACGATAAACTATTCTTAAGTTATACTCAATCTATTAGTTACGGTCTCACAGTCACATACACTTTGGGCTTGATCTTGTATAATTATTGGTTTTTATTTTATGATTTCATGAGATCTGGCCTATTTGTACACAAACTACGTATGTCTGAATTATGCGATTCATACGGTGGAGGCTGATGTTTGCGTTCTGGACTGAACAGGCCGGGCTAGCCGAGAAGTTACTCTACAGATGACCAATAAGGACTCAAGGCTTCACATGCTGGTTAATGCACCATTGGCTTAGCATAGGGACAAGGTCATAGAAGTCAGTATTCTGATTGACAATTCAGTCACATGATACTTAACGGGCCATAGGACATACCACTGTGTATATGGCTCTGAATCACATACTAAGTACGTGGTACTACCGCCCAATTGATCATATCATAGGTAGATGGAAAGCGAAGTTTCGACCTGTACCTCAGAATCAAATGATTTAATCACTGTGAAATGGAAATACAATTAAGTAATATTATCATCTGAAGTATAATAAAACAGGAATAGTGCATAGACTACTCATGTTATTAAAAACAACAAAAGGAGATCATAAGAGAAGAATTCACTAACACATGTGTATTTTGTTCGCATGCATTTATGGAGTGAGCTATATCGGTTTTGAATTGAAATGAATCGTGTAATCATCCCAACTAATTATGATTATCTATTTTGTATTGTTAATCAATCATAATTTACTTGATGTTTAGAGATTTTGTTGTTTGAGTATCCCTAAACTTCTTAGCCTTGTATGAATGCAAGTTTTTGACTGATTTTGCGGGAGTTAGCAAGTTATTGTATTTAAGCAAAGATAATGACTAGCACTAGGATCAAGGACCTAATTTTTTTAATTTTCCGTTTAGGAATCGTTCGCTGAATTCACCATCATTTCAGTGTTTGATGTTCATTCCGGGACTCGAAACCAGTAGCGAAGTGACTATTAAACACTGAAATGTAGGTGTATTCAGCTAATGATTGGTAAATGGAATGGATTCCACTGCTAGTAACTATTTATTTCTGCTTCAAATTCTTGTAACTGATGGTTAAATTTCGAGGAAATCCATTAAAGATGAATAAATACATGGAAAGTTACTAGTCAATTGCAGTCTTCAATACCAAATAATTGGAAGATTTAAAAACTTGTAAACGAATTATAATTATTTAATGAAATTTCTATATCGTGTGGCCGAGTTGCCCTGTTTATATATGACGTGACGATGCCGCCAATTAGAGAGAAGTGATTTATTGATCGAACTAATGATACACGAAGCCCGTACGAGCAGTCTAGAACACTTGTCGGTCCTGCTACCTGCCTAGCCCAGCCAATTAAGTCAAGAACACCAATAATAGCCTCTGCAATAGAAATCGTTTATTTCAAGCATACTGGGTTTGTATACTAATCAAACAGATCACGTCGTGCCATAAAATAGAAATTAACATTTGTACAAGATTCAGCTAAAAGTGGCTGTGAATAGGGGGAACAGTAATTAATAGACTGAGCATAACTCAGGAATGGTAAGTCGTACAGCAGTAATTCATAGATCAAAACAAAGCTTATAATAAGAGGAACACAAATATGAATAGTTTAGTTACTTAGCAATTACACAGTAGGAAATATACATACCATATTGGTTCATAAATAGTCCTCAAAGTTACCATTAATAAGTCTCTTCGGGATATAACGGAAATAATCTTTAATTGTTTGTTATCCTACAATAATTCATAAATCATTGAACAATCTTATTATTGCACCCAAATGCCGTGGTACAGCCGAGAGTGGGGAGGGTCCGCTCTCCTTCTCCAAATGTCCTCACATGACCACACGTGTATAGCCTCTGCCAGGAAAGTCCTACTCACTGCTTTTTCGTGGCACCGATGTTGTTTACGAAATTGAGAGGACGAAAATCGAATGTTCAGCGCTTTAACCGGGTTGGTGGACACGGTGCGTTCATCTAGGGGAGTTGGAAAACCCTCATTCCAAACCAATGGTGCACATGGACTGACTCCAGTATCCTGAGAGAACAAATGGCGTATGAATCAACCGTTGGTCACCGGCTACCATGGGAATGCATCTCCTTACGATGGTCCACTGAATTGTGGATCAGACCTTTATGTCAAAGCCTACGGGTGTGGCCCCCTCAGAAAACCACCTGCTTCAGTTTGGGCACCTGGGCAGTATCACAGCCCTCACACAAATCAAATGAGTTTTGTGAGGCGCATATGTATCTGGTGCTTCCTTGTACCAATATTTATGTGTTTAAATAAAATAAAAATAATACTTATTATTATTGGTTGAGTCGGCCTCCGGAGAACTCTAACAGAGCCTCCAGAGGCTCATAAAGAGACCCAACCAAACAGCGATTAATTAGAAGTTGTGTGAAGTTATGTTACTAAAATAACGAGATCCTGATTGGCTGATTAACACACTGCTACTATGTTTAACAGTACTCTAGAACTATCAGTAAAACTCAAGGTCTCTTAAATTACTATAAAATCCCTGTATTTTCTGTACATAAATGAACCCTATAGTAAAGTGCTTCCCTCACACTATGTGCGTTTTCTCTCGTCTTCAAGTCGCGGAGTAGTTCTAGCTCGGGGTACGGAACTAGCTTAGGGTAGCGAATATAGCGTTCACAATCGGCCAGACGTAACATTATTATTCAATGAACTTAATCATATAGGTAATACTGGTAATTTTACAATTGTGGAATAAAATAACACTATCATATAACTTCACTTAGTATTGTTTGTTTGAATCTTCCCATTGATATTCAAACAAACAATACTAAGTGAACTAAAACGTCACACCATTACACAAGCAAGTGGCTATCAGGACTCAGTAGCTGAGTAGATAACGTGATGGCGTTTGAAGCGAAAGGTACTGGGTTCGAGTCCTATGGTGAACATCAACAAGTCTGAGATGGAGGTACATCCAGCTGACGAGTCCCAAATAGAATGAAACGCGTGTCAAACTGGATTCCACTGCTAGCCACTATCCATCTTTACTATCATATAATGGAAGTTTAGAAAAAAAATAATATGATAGAAACTATGACTTACTCTGTATTTGGTTTCTTTAAAAATATTCCCGCATATGGAGTATTTAATTTAATTTTTCGACGAATAAGATTTATCAAACGTAAATCAGTGATCTTATCATTTTTTTGTTGGTTGAGAAAAAAAGAAAGGAAAAAAAGAAGTGATGAGAATATAAATTATGAACGAACTAATCAGATTTACGAGAATAGTTCTTGGATTTCGGCGCCTACTTAAACATCTGGGTTACCTGTTCCTGCCATCTAGATATTTCGACAAATTATCTAATTTTGTTTGTTTTTATTACATCATTATGACTATTAGTCACATAAGCTATTCAAGTGCGTTTCTGAAAAGTGTACAACCTTTCTCTGTAAAGATTACAAAAGGCCGAATCAGAGATATCGTGGTTGCTGGCAGGCAATATGCAACAAAAAGAATGTACATTATTCAGATATCGATTGACTGGACTGCTAACTTCTAACTGGTGATCACTGAATATTGATCGTCAGGATCGAAGAAGTAAGAAATGGAAACTCGTTGAAATACTTTTGCTGAGAATCCTATATTGTATATAATATTGAATAAAGTTAATACTAATACTAATAATATAAGTTATGGACAAGTCAATCGGATTTACGATAACAGGTCTTGGATTTCGGCGCCTAATTCATTCATTCATTTGGCAAAATACAATTTTGGCATTTTAGCTTATATCAGTTCATGATGAAAACCTCAAATTGAATTCCTAATCCTAACCATCGCTTGTGTATAAACCTGTTGGATAAGTTATGCACTGGATATTATGTATTACTACTCATAACAACAAAAAACCCTGTTTTTTATTAAGAAATAATTCTTAAAACCTGTAGTTATGATACGCTATGAAATAGATTGGCCATTGGAATAAAATATCCGTGTGAAGTAGGCAGATCAAGTAATCTATCACGATCTGGATGCAAATTTAATACCTCGTAATGCATTAAGACTCAATAGTAGTTGGATCCGATAAGTTAATTCTGACCAGTAACACCGAGATAACTATTTGGCGTGGTATAGATATTCATGGACTCCTTAACCTTTCGTACAAAGAAATATGATTGGAGCAAATTTTGTAGCTATTTTCTTACGTGTTGTGTCGGTGTCAGTTATAGACAACATGGAAGCTGGTAAATATTTCCAAAGCTGCCTCGAAATGATCTAAAAACAAACATCTACGATCGAGGATAATATTTGAGAGAAACAAATAGAAAGCATAACATAATTTTGAAACTAAAAATCCATACATGTGAGAACCACATCCCATAATGTCTCTAACCATTCGTCAGAATAATTGTACGTACCCCAACCAGGTAGTTGAGACTTATCAACACAGTTATTAAGCAGTCGACAGTTTCATGGACTGATAGTATGACTTGGTTTTGCCACCTCAGCTTTCGCCAAACTTACTCTTACTTCATATATCTCATTAGACTTCGAGGAATGTGGTAGCTGAGTATACGAAATACAAGTCAATGAAGTTTCATAATCTTATCCAACTGGTTTACTTATTGTCTTGTGCCTAACTTCGACAGGTGTCTCGGTAAACCCATATGATGCTTCGCATATATGTATGGTTAAATACTAGTAACCTAAGTGTCGCGTAGGAGTAGGCACATGTAGACAGTCAACAGAAGAAAAGAAACGTAGGATATGACATAAACGTTTATTGGGATAACAAATTAATAAAATGAATGGCAAGAATTCGAACAGCAGGAACCACTGTATAGCACGAAGAGTGACGCTTGCTGGTGCAGGAGTAGATCAGAAGGCTAGGGGTGGTCGAACTAAAACGCCCATGGAGTCATTTACCGTCGATCTGAGCTATGTTGGTAGATGCAGACTACTTGGTTAGGGTCTAAGATAACCACGATCAGTGTCTAGAAACTTTAGGTGAAGTAGTTCAGAATTGTTCACAATGATGCGGAATCACTCACTCTTCCTCTGAATTTAAGATCCGAGTGTCTTTTCAGACATACCTTCGAACTCTGTCTACTCAAACCACATTTTCAAAGTCTAGTCTTTCAACACATGTATTTCAATCAATAAACACGTAATGTTTATTTGAAATGATATCTACTGATGACTTTATGCGCATGCTATACGTACGTACATACATGCATACATACCTCAATCATTTTAACAAATTTTGGAAACAACGGTGAACCGGATATTGCAATCACCGGTACAATAGGGAAATTCTCTGGGATATTTTGTGGAGACAATGCTAATGGTGGAACTGCAGGAGGGAGTGGCGTAGATGATGATGGATCAGATTCATGTGCATTTGAATTAGGTAAACCATCTGGATCAATACCACTATCATCGTCTGACGAACCTTTTCCCGATGAACTTGAAAATGCATTTTTTGGTATGAATTGGATCTATAGATTGTTTTTATAAAAGTAATGAACAGAATATTTGAAAAAATACGATGAGTGATAGTTAGTTTCATTACTAAACAATAAACGCAAATTCATAAATCGTAAATTTCTTGATTACTGAAACTTAATAAAAAAACAACTACAACAACTGTAAACCTATAATCCCACTATTATAATGGATATTTGAAACTCATTTACCTAATAGAAACTTATGTACTCGGCTTCGGAACATACTATCCAGCTATCCAGACCAACGTACATAAGAATAGATTCAGACCTAGGGGCCCATTTAATGAAAGTCTAGTGCTTCAACTGCTCCACAACAATGGACATACAACGTACTGTAATAATTGTCTGGAATGGATGACTTTTAAAGGAAAAAACCAAATCAAATATGTATAGACGTGTTCACTTCGTTGGTTTTTGCCACTATTTGTTGCTCCCAAAATGCATATATCATGACTATGAAATAGATTACAGACACAAGCGAAATTAAGCAAAGTCATTTGCCGGACTTAACATTCTCAGAAGTAATTCCCCTAACTTTGTGATCTCTTAATATACATAATCCGTCAAAGATTATTTATTTATTTACTTGAACACAAATATTGGTACAAGTGGGCACCAGACATATATGCACCACACTTTTCATCAGGATATAGTCTACCAGACCTAGTTAGATCTCATTTTTTCCGCAGTGTGCTTGAATTAGACTACGAAGGGTAGTTTAGGCACACATGCGAGGAAATTATAGGTTAAAAGATTATCCAACTGATACCCAGGGTAGTGCTTTAACAATAAACTAGGCATAAAAAGATTAATAACTAAAAGTAAGTACTTGTTAATTGTGATTATCCTTAAGTTTAGTTTTAGACATTAGTTAAAGTATAAGAAGTTTAGAAAAGTGAAATAAACCACAATATATGTAAATTAGGAGAGCTCTATTATATATTTAAATCAAAGCGGAAGTGAGTCAACTACATGATAATCAAGAACATTTTATGTAATGCTGTAGTGAACGAAGACTGTGGGAAAAACCAAGTTATTGTTTGAAGGGAAATTATACGGTACCTTCGTAAAACATGAAAATTATACACTAGATACATTATTTGTACATCTTCCTTTAGTTATCCTTTACATACTTCATGATTCCTTGAATTCTACCGTTATATCGATTGTTCTCCGTTTCCGTTTCTCTTCTCTTCAATTCAAGCTTATGATGGCTGGTACTGAACCTCCGATTGGTGCTAGGCACTACTTATATCTGTCAGCATAAGTAGCGTACATCACAACAGTAAACAATTGTAAGTTGTTCTCGAGTTCTATTTATTATGATTTAACGGGAAGACAACCTAACAATGTAAATCCTAACGATTTGTACACTGGTGCATCTATGTGTATTCTGAGATAATAAAATGTGGACACAAGTAAAGTGATTATTTTACAACTCTTACTACTTTGGGTTGTGATCATTAATCTCCGGATATTGTTATTAACATGTAAATAACAAAACTAAGGATTTAAATGCTGTCCAATAGTACGGTGGATAATCAGCTGGATTATAACAATCGTCATTAGATTATTAAAACTACTTTGCTTTGGTAATATGAATAAAGTATTAAGACGAAGCATAAATTTGTGTGTAGTGTCTTTAATTTAAATATTGGAAATAAATGTTCTAAAGTACAGACCAAAGGCTTTAGCTACTCAGATAATTACTATTTACAGGTTTGGTTTGGTAAACTTTGATGTTAAAATATGAAAGGTGTTAAAGATCCCTAATGATCACATCAAATATAAGCAAAGATAAAGAAAATCATACTTGCGAGAAACTAAACAATTCGACTGACTTTAAGTATACAAAGACATCCAGAAACACGAAATATATCACAGTCTTACTTGAGACGGTGGTAATTTTAACACTGACGCGTCCATAAACTGACTCCGCTGTTCTCCAAAGTAAGCGATACAAGGTGCACATGTAAACTTTGAATGCTGAATATAGGAAAATTTTCCCAGTTTAAGAGCCCGTAAGCCATTTGCATAGCATTTTCTTAACATTTCCTTTCTAGCTAACTAATTGAATGTTTATGCAAGAGATATCAATCCTCCAAGAGTTAGCCTGCAAAGTAACAAGTGACGAGAACTTAGTTTAAGAAACAAATTCTATTGGTTCAAAGGGTTAATTAAAATGAAATCTACTAATAGAATACTAACATATATTTCTGACCCTTTAAACGAACTTAGTATTTATAGTCACCAGGCTTGATGTGGCAATGAAATACAATGTATATAAAAGTATCAAAATATGGGTTACTTTCATTCCACGTTTTGTTTGTTATATATTTTAATCTTAGGTGGTTAGAAACGATCGCCAAGATGTTGTGAACTCCAATTTCGCGTAATTTGGTGCTTGTCGTTACGGGATATCTTAAATTTTGAGAAGACATGGTCCTCGTGCGGTTGAGACATGTGTTGCCCAGTCCCAAAAATGCAGATGTTACTACTGACCTATCTTGGTGGTGATTGATTTGTCTTTTGTTTTCTCTAGGATAGATTTTTACGCTAACTAGTCACTACTTAGTAGCTATTGTTATATCTTAGTTTTTAGTGCTTGCCGGATTCGACAAACCAAGTTGCCAAGTTTTATGAAAAAGATGGTATTTTGGTAGTTCAGCAACATAAATATGCCAGACTGATGGATTACACCACGTACTGTTATCATCCTTTGAGGAGACTTGACAAACGACTATTTGGTTTACATAGCAGTCCCGTTTCAGATACGATTTATAAGTGATTGAAGAGACTAATTAACCGCATTTTCGGAAGCAAAATATAAACCATGTATCTAGTTACTGACCTTCCCTTTTGATTAGCGAAACTGCCAATATTTGGAGAGTTAATTCGAAATGAGCTGATCGGTAACATAGAAACATGCAAACTACTGAACGGAATTTCTGGGTTTGTAATGAACAGACACTATTTGGGTGGAAACCTATGAGAAGTGAATCAAGGGTTTTCATTACGAATCAATACCACCTACAACGTGAAAATGTGATTTAATTATGTAGATGAATGAATTTCGCTCGGCCTGCTAACATTCATTTCATTGGTTAGGCCATAGATAAGCATCAGCCAACAGTCTTACGATCGTAATAGCAGGATATAAAAGCATATGATGAATGTAGCGGACAGAGCTAGGAGATTGCAAAGGAAGCGCTAAAAAGACAGAACTGCCTGGAAAGAAGTGGTGGCATTTGCTAAAACCTATTTATATACTATTTGACTAGTTGAGGTTTTAAAACCATTTCCCTAACCCAAAACTCCTAATTAAGTTTGGTCAAACGTTTAGGGTGAAGAATAATATATTCTCGAGGAACATACACCATATTGCATTACTAAGGCTAATAACCACAACAAAAACTAAAAGTAATAAGCATGTAGATAAAGGCACACCAACCTTGACAATACGAACCTCCCACTCTCAGCTCTCGATGTCCAATACGCAATATCTCTAGGATTCAAATAGTGCAAACGATTGTAGACAGAATAGGAGAAGCTTTCGATTAATGGCCCTCCATATCTAGTAGCAGTGGAACACCGGTACATTTAGGCAGGAACCTAGATATAATAACGATGAGAGCCGAAAAATAAAATAACATCGGTTAACCATAGTAAAATACCAACCAAGAATATGCCAAGTTTTCTCTTAACGAACTTCTTGGAAGTCGATTGCACTGCCTCAGTCTCAGTGAATTCCAGAATTTGACTGCTTTCAAGGGTAGAAGGTATGTATATAGTCCGTTCTGCTGTATTGTGTCTCCAGTTTCTGAATGTTAGTCCTAAGGTTTCCGTTGGAACGAAGCTTAAGTAGGTGTTTAAGAGGGTATCTTGAAGTGTTTGGGACGTTTTTAGCCATTAGAAGGTCGCCTCTGAAACGCCTATACTCTAGTGGGTAAATGATCAGTGATAGGAGACGCTTTTCATGAGATTTGAAATCAAGTTCCCCAACTGATTTTGTGGCTAGCCGTTGGATACGTTCCAGAGTGTACTATGTATTTGGAGTGAGGGAGTAAATATGATATATCTGTACTCCAAGTTTAGACGAAAAAAACCTTTAAAGACTACGTAGAAAGTTCTTCCGTCGAACTGGCCCAAGATATGCTTCAATGTTACCGGTGAAAAGTTTGTTCGGAAGTTATCGTAAGCCTTCAAACCGTAGGGTACCAACACTCCTTGATCTTTTTCAAGATGGGATACCTCTAGAGAGGAGTTACCTGAGTTGTTTCTGTAGTCTGCATTATGTTTCAGATGAACTGCTTTGCACTTTGAAGTGGTCTCCGTTGTCATCTGCCTAACTTTGACGTCGAGTGAGATCCTCCTGAGGTGCCAGTTTATCGTCCTGTTTGCTCACCTCCCTCGAAAGTTTCACATCGTCAGCAAAAAGCAATAAGTCAGAAAATACCTGCTGTGAACGATCGCTTATATAAATCGAGAGAACAACAGTTCCTGGTACTGAACTCTGAGGGACCACCCTAAGACATCCCATAGCCTGAGAGAAGAAAAAAAGCATTGGTAAATTGTATTCCTTAGACTTATGAATATGTCAAGTGTCTTCCTAAAGAGCTTCTCAGAAGTCGTTTGAGCTGGATCATCTGGCAAAGAATTCCAGCATTTGACTACTCGTAAAGACTCAAAGGTATGTTTACTGTCCCTTTTCCTATGTTGTACTTCTAATTTATGGGTGGTGCACCTGAAGTTTGTGTTGGAACTGATAGAAATAGGCCCTTAAGAGGATGATCACGAGTGTGAACGATTTTATAATTCATTTGAGGATCACCTTTGAGACTCTCATACTGTAATGAGTAAACGTTCAGTGGTTTGAGGCGCTCTTCATAAGGCTTGAATTCGAGTCCTCCATTTGATTTTCTGGTTAGCTGTTCGGTAGGTTCCAATGTTTTGTTATCCTTTCGAAATGACAAAGGAGACACTGTATCTCCATGCTCTAGATGAATCCGAATAAGACTGTCAAAGATTAAGTGAAAAGTTCTGCCGTCGAACAGGCTGAAATCGTGCTTCAACGTTTTTAGTGCTACGTTTGTTCGAAAAGTATTTATTATCTCCGTTGGTGTAAGACTTTGTCATAGGATACCAACACTCCTAGATCGTTTCGAACTTGGATATCTCTATGGGGAGTTATTTTAGTTGTAGTCGCAGTTCGTAATATGTCTTAGACTGCTTTGCACTCTGAAGTTTTAAAGGTAAGTCCGTTTTTATTCGCCCAAATTTGGAGTCGATTCAGGTTCTCTTGAAGCTACATCTTATCATCTTGATTTAAAACTTCTCTTCAAAGTCTCACACCGTTGGTGTATAGTAAGTTGGATGATATTTTCTGAGTATGGTCATTTATATAAATTAGAAAAAGTAGCCCTTTACTGGAGCGTGAGGGACCACTCTAGGACATTTCGTAACCTGAGAATTGGTTTACCCTGACTTTAAATTATCGACCATTTGGATACGAAGATAACCAATCAGTTAATGATTACTTTATACCTAGCTGTGTTGAACCTACTGATGAGATATATATGATTGATATCATTATGGGGATTTGTGCAGATTGTAGTATGTTCACAGTTAAATTCACGAAACTTATGTTTATTGCTTCTCAGATAGACTTGTGAATTCAGCTGTGAAACTACATGATTGACCCTATACAAAGCTTTTGAGAAGTCAAGATATATGATATAAACCTTCTCCTTGCAATCAAGGATGCTTGTCCATCTCTCCAACGTAGGTAGCAGGTTGATTATACGGGAGTGACTTTTTCTGAAACCGTGCTGTTGAGGTTGAAAGAATTTATGGATAGTAAGTAGTCACTTAGACCGTCACATATCAGGGATTCCATAGTTTTGGGGAGTACTTAGATAAGTGCAACTGGTCTGTAGCATGAAGATTCGCTGCGTCAATCTTTTTTGAAAATTGGTGCAATGTGATTCAACTTCCAATTTTCCGGTACTGTGCTTCGGTTTAGCGAATATAAGAGCACTACGCTAGGTGGTTCAACTAAAAGTGAAGCTTTTTCCCATACTATTGTAGAATGAATCACGTCTAGGCTAAACTAATTGTCTTTGTTTAGACACTACCGTTTCTGCTACACCAAGTCGGGTTCACTTCTGAGGGTCTTGTTGAGTTGCAGATGAAGTTCTTGTCGATGTACTTAATAAGATACAGTTGAAAGTTTTGAAAGTACTCTTCTCCATAAATGTCGGCATCGTCACTGTCGTTGTCAGTTGAGCTGTCAGGATTTAACATTTGAGAAGCTACTGTTTAGGCTTGCTGAAGGCAGACTGCATGATGGAATAAGCTTTTCGGATTGGAGACAACGTTACAGATCAGTTTTGTCTGATACTAAAGAATGCCTTCCCTCATTTGACTAGTGCATTGATTCTCTAATTTTTAAAATGCACATACGTGCTGTCTTCATGAGTTCGTATGTATTCCTCATGGTAGTGTCTTTGCATCTTAACATTCGAATAGTGCGATTCTTCATGACTTCACATTGCTTGTAAATTTTGCAGACCGTTTCGGAGCAGAGAGCTTTGTAGCACATAAGATCGTGTTCAATAAGAAGTCCCAACGAACGTCCACATCATGTTGAGAGTGGGATTCTCAGTCCACTTGCTGTAGACTGTCCTGTAAAGTTGTCACATCCAACCGTTATCAATTCCAATACCTGTCGTTAGTCAGATGTTTTAGCTCAGTTTTGCCGATAAAATAAGTCTATGATGGCTTATTCACTTTTACCGAATAGAGTCAGTATTATAAAGTTGTTAATGAGGAATTCTGTGTTGGTTAATATACAATCTTAGCGAGACAGTGCCTGACTAATTCTCCATAAATATTCTAACTCCACATTTTCAAATAATCCGAGATCATTTATGTTGAAAAACCGAGTTTCAGTAGAGTTGTCACCCCAATTTACTTGTGTTCAGCAAAGTTGACTTTAGGACAATTGAATCCTCTGGAATCAGGTTATGAGTGTAGCCGAGACAAATAAGACTAGATTTTGACTCCGTCAGACTTTATAAGTGACAGTGTAAGACAACGTTTTTAAAAAATATATATCTGTTTGTTTATGACCGATATCTACGTTATTGTCAAATATAAACGAAGAAGTTTGAGCGGCTAAATGTTTGACTACATCTTTTATCTTAAGGTTATAATCAGACGTGGTAAAATGAAAACTAAATGATGAGGTTAAAACAATACTTACCTGTCATAGAACCAATGTTTTGAGTATTGCTTGCATAATTTTCATTCCGTTACCTATTAGTTTGTTGATTTTATCTAGCTTATAGTGCTTGTGAATTAGGACAATATCGAGGCAGTTCGCACAGGATGCATATATACCAATAAAATATTGATCAATTGCAGTCCTAAACATCAATCGGAAAATTCAAGTTTACAATACCAAGTGAAATGAAAACAGCATTTTGATTGTAGCTATTAAAGACTGAATGAAGTATTTCAGACAATTAATCTGATCGAAGATGGTAAAACTAATAACTGCCTTTTGTTGCTACGTATTTCACTTGACATGTACTGAAACTATGATTCTTATTTAATTTATGCAAATAACAATGCATGTGTGTATGTGTATGTGTTTGACCTTATTAAACTAAACACATAAGCAACCCCTGTAATTTTTGAATAATCTTATACTTTGAACTGTCTACATTCCAATCATATTCTACACAAATGATTGATTTTTATGGTATTTCGTCAATAGATACCGTTTATTCAATAGTGAATATTAGAAAGCTCTATCTTAGTCAACACTTTATTCAGATAGAATGAACTTACTACTCATAAATGGAAAGTAATCAGTAGTATATCATCACCAGCAATAAATTTAAGCAAATTACTAATCAATATATATTACAATAACATATATACAATACTACTTAAATTGTTTTATAGTAATGTGTAAAAAAATTATTCTTATTCATTAAACTGACTGATGTTAAAAGCAGTTATCAACGGATAGTATTGAGATAAGTCTACTTTATATTACTAATTGAATTAATTCATTTCAATTTAGTGATTTATAGTCTTGATGCTATTATGGGGTGTGCTACAGATGTCAACAGATATAAGTAGTATATATTATCAATCGAAAGTGGGGTTCCTGGGGCCAGAAGGTCAATATGATCGAAGAAGGGAGAATAAGAACAGAGAATGATTGATGTGGAAACTAAAGAACAACGAATTCTGAGACAATTGACTGACATTTTGCAAATGAATTGTTTACTGTATGGTTTTCAGATTTTACCACTAATGTTCTGTAATCATATATTCCAATACATTTGAGTTAGTTTCCTACAGGATGGAGTCTCTAACCCCATGCCCAACCCTCCTCCTTTATCCGGGCTTGGGACTAGCAGTAGCCTTGAGAGGAGCTACAGG